CAGCATGAGTCCAAGGACAGGGAATGAGACTCTAAAACCATAGTGAATTATTGGCAAAAATTGTACACAGAGTCAAACACGTCACGATTTTGCTTCACCCTGGTTTCCATGCAGAGCTGCAAGAAAGGTAAGTTGCTAGGGACTATCATGCTCTTCTTGTCTTCAAGAATAGCAGGAGGGGCGTTGGCTTTTTCAAGTACCTTGAGGGTCTTCTGGGCATCCTTAAACAATTCTTGAGCTTCCTTCTTAATGGAAGAAGCATGTCTGGCCACGTCTGACATGGGGTTGACCTTCGAAAGAGCCACATAGTTAGCATAAGCCACATAAAAGTTGTTCTTCTTTATGCTAAGGTCTTCCTTCGCAGAAGCTAACAACATTTCCAAAGTGATGGAACTACTAGTGTTGCTATTAACAGCTGATGGGATGGTAGGCACAGGAGTAGGAGAGACAGAACCAACAACTGAAAGAGGTGGCAAGGAATCAAGACTGGTGTATATTATTTCAATATCACCATCAATGGAAAGAGTGGTGGATCCAAGGAGAGGAGAAATGTCACCAATTTTGGTGAGATGTGTCTGTTCATTCAGAACAGGAGAGGGAATACCAACTTTGGTAAGAGGGCTTTGTTCTTCACGAGGAAGAGAGTTGGCAGCAGAGTGTTGGGAAGACATTATAGAATTCAAAGTAAAAAATGTGAAGTTTTATAGAATAAAATCAACAGTAAAAAGATTGAGACGTATATAAGAATACTTTGAGACTGTATATAGGTTGTCTTTATTAAAGAATATAAAGTTGTCCTTTTTATATCAAAACACAATCTGCTTTGTCAGTCACATCTTAATTTCTTAAGTCTGAGTTCATTTAGATATTAGAGAGCTGGTACTGCTATGTTTATAATTTAATCTAATTGCAGTGTCCTCATATTAACTCAGTGCTTACTGAGCTGTCATAATTACAGTACTTACTGTAATTAATTATTGGTCTTATTGATTTACCATAAGTAAAATAAATAAATTATTCATTTGCTCTTGTAATGATAGCTGTTTTACTATAATAATAGGAATATGTTCTTAGATGTAATAAATCCAACAACCAAGTGTCTGGATCACCACAAGTTGCACACATAATAAATTCAATATGCATCACTTATACTGATGATTTAAACTCTTCCAAAAGTTTTACAATGCTTTACAAAGGTCTGTATTACTAAGATAATTATATTATACTGTGCATAAAGAATTACTGCAGCTAACTATCTTCAGATTTTACAGATTCATTAAAATAATGTCTAACAAACTGTCAGAGTTGACATTGGCCAAACTAATGCAGATCAGGAACAACAAGTGATGTTCCCAATCTGGGTTAGTCTTCCTTTTACTATAACAAAGTCAAAAGGTCAAACCCACTGGGGATCAAGGAGTATACATTAAATCAAAGAGAGAATAAAAGATACTTTTTATTAACACAAATTGAATTGTCTTATACAGTTTTCTAAACTAATACTGCGCATTATCTGCAGTAGCTATTATATTATATTTAAATAAAAGAAGAGTCATTATACTGTGGTTAATGCTCAGGAAGATGTTACTGCATATAATAAGATACTGTGGTTAACCCTCTTCAGATTTTATGGATTCATCAAAATAATGTCTAACACAAGATTGTTGTTCTCAATCTGGGTTGTTCTTCCAATGCTATAACACAGCCAAAATTGGTTAAACCTACTGGGAATCGTAAACTAAGACAAAAGAATAAAAAGAAGATAGAAAGATAGATAACTTTTATTGAATGAAATAATGTCCTCTTTTATATCTTTTCTAAACCAACCCAGCCATTATAAATGTCTATTTTGGTTTCTATTCTACTTTTGTTAAGCTATGTGCTTTCTAATTCTTTTGTGAGCAAAAGGAAATAACTTCGGTCGTCGTTCTCAAAAGAGAATTCTGTGTAATCATCATCCTGATTGGCTGACAAGAATTCGGGCACGACATGATCAAAAATAACAAACCAAAACAATTGCCACAAGTGTGGATTGAACACACGACCTTTAGATCTTCAGTCTAACGCTCTCCCAGCTGAGCTATTGCGGCTTAACTTCTTCATTGCGTGTGTTGTAATAAAGTATCACGTGTAACTATGTCATGGTGTCCAGTACTGGAAGGTCAGTCTGCTTGGTGGGTTTGTCCAGTGATTTGTCGTGATATGTCGTCCCAGTTATGAGAGGCTGACGTCAACGGTGTGTTGATGTGGTGCTGTGCCCTCGGTGGTAAGAGGAGATCTTTCCGTGCACAGGAAAAATCTCATTTTTGTTCCCTGTTCTTTCTATACACAATACTTTTTCCTTTTTCCTTATTAACATATTTATCCACATTGTACTCCTTCGAAATCATGGTTATCCATGCTAGTAACATTCCTTTTCTACAATGTACACAATCCATCTTGCCAAAATCTCTGCGCAACATCAGTACTTTATTCATATATTTTATTCTTGCTATGATATTTCAGGTATGAAATAATTTTGGTGATTCAGACACTTGAATGTTAGATTTATCACATATAAGAACATATTCATATTGGAATAGCGTAGTAGCTATTATCTTGTCTGTATAATATATATATAAACGATTAAGTAATCAGCCCAATAATTATTACAGTTAGATAATATCTTAAAGATTGTTAAGATAATTATATCATACTGCCGGGTAAACTGTGTCAGATCAATATGGAGCTAATTTAGTAGGAAGTCCTAAAGCTCTAGTATAAAAGAGAAAAGAATAGCTAAGAGCTAAAGAAGTACAATTTATGACTTGATGTCATAATTATAACACTGATACTAGTTAAGCAATAAATACACTCTAATAACCAAATATAATAAAGGAAGAAAACCTTAAGAAACAAAGACATAATAACAAGAGCAAATTATATTTTCTTATAAAAAGAGACACTTTTTTATTTATGAATAAAGATCAACTTATATATAGTCTCAAAGTATTTCTATATGTTTCTATTATCAAATTTATTATTTTCTATTGTTTTGTACCTGAAATATCACAATTTTAAATATTCAAAATATTTTATTTGACATGCATTTGGAGATTAAGATACTTCTTTTTAAAGTAGTTGAACTTGTAAAAGCTAGTTAAAGGAGACATTGTCTGGACTAAATCAATACTCTTCGTTTTAAAAATAGAATAAAAAAGATATCTTAATTCAAAAAAATATATTTTTGAAAAATACATCAATATCATTGTGCAGACATATATATATCATAGCAAGATTCATGCCATACACAAAAAGAATCAAAGACATACAGATATAATAGAGCTTTGAAAATAAAGTAGTTCAAAAAGTCTCCTAATATTGTTATGTTCTGTATGACAGAAGACTATAACAATTATATTCATGAAGACAGATCAGAGATTAGAACTTTATCTTTGTCTTTTGAAGCTATTAAATAGATTGAAACTAAACTGAGAAGTGAAAGCAGCTTTAGAAGCACAAGAATATCTGTTTCTCAACAGATTGACAGCTGAGATATTGGTGTTAGAAAGCCAAACTATAAAGAGATATATAATAAAATGAAAAAAAGTATATTAAAAAAAATAAAAAATATACTTAACAGTTCTGTTAAAATGAAATAAAATATATGTCAAGTTTGTTATATATATTCAACTCTAATGAGAAAACATCTATTGCTATTTGAATAAATGAGAAATTGCCAGAAAAAAATTATTGCACTTTTATCAGAGATCTTTGTATTAACAATATTGAAAGCAATCTTTATATCTTTGGCTTTCAATCACCTGTTGTTGTATCCAACATAATCGTAGATTCAAATAGAGTGCACAGACAATAAGACAAAGACATATTGAATAAGCGACCAGTATCAATTATACATTATTTCTCACACTATCATTAAATAAAGAATATACCGATAACAAGGTCACACACCTTAGTCAACATCACTAATCACTCAAACAAGAGCGTAGGTAATAACTTAACAATATATTATCTATGATATAAGAAAACAGACATCACATGATATACTCATATCATTATCCTAAATACACACGCAATGTCTATATAAACTCACATAGCAAATAGCAATAGAAGATCATCTCTCTTTTCGTCAATAAACAAAGTCTTACCGTACTTCTTGTCTGCACTTTGTTTTTCTTTCTTTTCTAAAAATATAACACCTGTCCAAATGAGAGTTATGAGAATGTTTATATCATTTAATCAGACAGTCATACCAATCTGCCAATAGTTTATATATCTTCATGAGAGAAGCTACTTCTGTTCTTTGTATTTTACTATTGACTATGGTATTCTCAAAGTTAATGCAATTACATTTGCATTTGCTTAAGTTGCAGTCCACTACTGTGAATTCCATATTTGTTATGCTTGATAAACAAATATTAACAATAAAATAAAATTTAATATGTCATTTATATCAGCTCAACTAGTAGCATACAAACAGAAGTTAAAGAACAAAGTGAAGTATATCTTAATAAAGTCTGACAAAAAATAATTTTGATAAGAATCTTTGACTTCAAATGCAATATATTTAACCAGTTACCCTTCTTGAGATATTTTAAAACACAATAGACTGAAAGCAAAGTATTGCTTAAAAGATGGGAGTGCCCTTATGTTGATGACTCATATAGAGAATATTTGATAAATAACTATATTGAGTCATGACATAACCAGTTCAAGACTATTTACTTTGGACATGCTAGAATCAGAAGACTAAATCGTTTTGTATTTGTCTGTATGAATAATGTAGAGTATTTCTAAGAACAAAAAGTAGACTGTATTTATTTAAATAATGAAAAGATAGGGCCAGTAGAAAACGAACTTGCAAGAAATGAATTTTCTTCATCTAAGTTAGAAGATGACATACTCCTTTCTATAATGATCAGTTTATTAAATGTAATCAGTACTAGTATAAATGCCTCTGATAGCAAGTGACAAATCAAATATTTTATAAATGATATAAAATGCACTGGAAAAACACCTCTGAATACACCAGTACTGGAATAATTCAGTGATATACAGCAAAGTGCAAGATACTTATATGAAAGATATTTTTTCTAACAATTCAGACAGCTGATAATAATAAGAACAATTTATATCCTCTGCAACAATAATAAACTTAATGGAAAAAGAGATTGTTTTATTTATTTAGTATATAAAATACCATTAAGCATGCTACTCTATGATAATACTATCTTCTGTGATGTGTTTTTGAGAGGTTTTTGGGCATGATTTTCAGCTCAGATCAAACTGAATGATTGACTGACCCAGACAGTATTACACTAGTAAAGTATATTCTGATTAGTAATAAATCAAATTATGTTATTAGTCCAACTTAGTAACCAATGAGGTTGGTTTCTTACATCTATTTAAAAACCTGATATATACTAATAATTTTCTTATTTTTTGAACTTGCTTCCTAAACTATATACTCTTTATCAGCATCTTGACACTGACTTTTGAATCTTAAATACAAGATCAAACTTATACAGAACTCAAGCTTTTTTATTGTAAAGCTCTTTTTTTATTATAGTGGAAAGCCTATCTTAACGGTGAGTCTATTACACTCTAGCAGAATTGCATATCACCTACTGCACTGATATATCTTGGTTTCTCTCTGACATTGTTTATTGCCCAGCAAGATCTATTTTATTATCAGTGATATACACTGAGTGTTGAAAAATAATGCAAGAATTTATAGTCTGAAACCTCTCTAAACTTGCACAATGTTCTTCTTCTTCTAAATTCACATTTTAATAATGCAGTCAAAAAACTAAAAGCACTAATATGACACCTACTCCCAGAACTGAAGGAAGAAAAAAAAACTGACAATGTAACTCGTGCTACTATTGTACACGAGGACATTACAAATGGCACTAAGCAATATGACATTGCTAAGATGTTTAATGTTAACCCTTATACTGTTTCAAGAGTGCTTAAGCACTACAAAGAAACTAGGTCATATGAGAGAGTCAAGAACCTAGGGAAACCAAAGAAGTTAAATACAAGAGATAAGAGAGAGATTCTGTATGAGATTTCAAAGGATCTGATGCAACTAATGTCTTACATCAGAAAAACTATTGCGAATCCCATATAAGCAAACACTCTAAGATATTTTCTTCACAGTCATGACATATATTCCAGTAGAATAATGAAGAAGCCCAAAATATCTATTGAGAATCAAAAGAAACGCGTTGCATGGGCCAATGCTCATCTTGATTGAAGTATTGAGAATTGAGAAAAGACCATTTAGACTGATAAGAAACGATTCCAACTTTTTGGTCATGATGGCTGCAAGAGAGTTCTCTGCAAGAACAATGCTAGTGTTTGTACTACATTTATTTCTCCAACCATGAAGCTTGGAGGTGGTTCTTTCATAGTTTGGAGATGTTTCTTCAGCAAGAGTGTCGGTCTTTAAAAATTATAAACAGACAAGCCAATGACAAAAAGCATATCAAAATATTAGAAAAGACATATCTTTCTTCTCTCTCAGACTTTCAGTAGCAAACTGGTTGGGATGACTTGGTACTCCAAGAAGACAACGCCAAGGCACACACAAGCAATGTGACTGTAAATTGGAAGAAGCAGCATAAGCTCAAAGTTTTGACTGACTGACCTCCTCAAAGCCCAGATCTTAATCCCATTGAGCATCTATGGGATTATGTTAGTAAAAGAGTCTGGTAAAAAAGATACAGCTTGCACAGCCTGAGATATCTTTATGCTGCTCTTGAGAAGGAATAGAAGAAAATTCCTCAGAAATATTTGGATAACTTGATTTCAAGTATACATCAAAGATGTCAGACAGTAATTGACGCAAAAGGCCACCCAACAAACTATTAATAAATATCAAGTCTAATAACATATTCTGAAAGTATATATTAACTACTGTATATCATTTTAATTTTAGATGTATACTTCTTTTTCTTGATACTTTTTTTAAAATCAAAGAAGTGCATATTAGACTGAAATTTAGTCAGCTAAAAGAAAATTATGTTTTTTTAATACTCAGTATAGTATGTGTTTTTTGGTTCCACTTAGACCACGAATATTCTGTAAAGACGTATGACACTCTTTACAGAATTTGCTTCAATCCCTTTGCACAAGACATACCCTTGTGCATTATATTTCATTATTGGTACTGCTTTAATAGAGCTTTATAACAAAGTAGTATAGATTGTTCACATATAAAAGTCTTCAGATGAAGCAATAATAAAATGAAATCCTTATCTATCTTTATTTTATTCATCAAATATCTTATTTACTTTTGTTTATATCTTTATTTTATTGTCACTGACTTATAACAACTCTTTGCAATAGTTATAAGTATACTTCTTGTTATATTTGTCCCTTCTATACACATTTTACTACATTTCCTTACTGTTGGATAGACCCAAGCATTATCAGAGTAATTTATCTCTATCTCTTTATATATTTGCCTTCTTAACTCGTTGGCAACTCTATTTTCATTTGTTATTTTTCTGACAACATTGCACCACACCAACTCAACACTTGTCAGCTACTGGTTGCGTTTGACCACGATCACAACTCTTGGTGCGAGAGCAAACTGCAAGGTAAGGATCTGATCTGGGAACAGGTGAAACAAGCAATTAAAACAAAATTCGATTCATTCGACTAACAGCTGGAGATGGGTTCCCTTGTATTTACCATGGTAATAGAAGAAGACGAGTCCATTATAGACTATGGAACTCGGTTCCAGAAGGCATGCCATGAAGGCAACATACAAGACAGCAACCACCTGGCCATGCGATTCCTATCAAGCCTCACCTCCAACCTGTCCGCCAATGTTAAGCTTGCCTGGTTTGCCAGCCATTCCAAGATGCCACAGTTGGTAAAGCAGGAGTTGACTCTAGCCAGCAGTATTGCAGCAGGTAACAAGTGCTCAGACAATGAAAGATTTGCATCGAGAAAAGTTTATAATCTCAACAAAAACATCACAAAAAATAAATTCTTCTGCACTCAACACAAGTACAATAACAGCCATACAACAAAAGATGACAAAATGTTGACAAAAGTGAGACTTAACCAGAAATAATGTCGACATTGTAAGAAACTATGGAGCTACCAACATCACTGCCAGGAATATTTCTAATCTCAAGAATATCAATAAAAACAAGAAAAAATTTCAATCAACTCAGTCAAGCCATCCAACACAGATGCAATAGAGCATATCACCAGCATGCTAGAACATGTGTCATTTGGTAAGCATACTCTAAAAAATAAAACAGATGAAAAGAATCCATTCTCATTGCAAACGCCCATTGTCCTACAGAATGAACACAGAATAGTAGATCTCCTGGACACGGGGGCACAGAGATCCTGTTTGGACATAGAATTTTACAAAAAAAAACAATAAATCTTCCAATTGTCAAAGTAGAAGAATATTTAGTGTTTGCAGAAAAGAATCAAACTTCTAAGCGTTTAAGACAGTCTGTATCATTAGAAGTGACTTATGCCAATGGTCATAACTTCACACATTCTTTCGAATTAATGGAAACAAATGAAAGTGATAATGATCTTATACTTGGACAAGACATAATGCCTAAGCTTGGAATAGCTTTAGCAGGTGTAGCCATAGACTGGAACACAAAGAATATAAGTCAAAGTAAATAAGATATAGAGGATGAAATAGAGCCAAATAATTTACCATATGGTACAAAAGAACAACAAGAAGCATTTAGAAAAGCAATTGCATCTTACACAGTGGAAAATAAGGCTATCCCTAAGACTTCTTTTTGTATGGTACCAGAGTCTATAATAGAACTTAAAACGCTGAAGGTTCCCAAACTTATCAGCGACAGTATCCTTTGCAATACACACTTAGACCTGTCATTGATGAAGTCGTAAACAACTGGTTGAACGAAGGCACTATTGTAAGAGCCCTGGTAAATACGGCCTGGAACAGTTCATTGACTCTGGCAGATAAAAAAGATACACACAAGGCAACAAAACAGAAAAAAAAATCTGTCTGGATCTACGTCACATAAACAAGCTCTTGCCTGATAACAAATTCCCTCTGTCTTTGATAAGGCATATCTTTGACACCATAACCAGTGCAACAATATTCTCAACATTAGACTTGAAAAGTGTATTTCACTATTTCATAATTGCAGAACCAGATCAACATAAGACAACGTTCACTCATAATAATATGCAATACATGTTCTGAGGGTGCCATTTCGGACTAAAGCTGAGATGTACAAATAAATTTAGAAAGGGAACAATAGGTACTGTGAGAGTATTGTTTATTTAAGAAAGAAGATCATGGCTGTTTATATAGACATTTGGTTCCCTAATTTAAGATCTTCATTGGTTAATGGTTGGTTATCACCGAAGCAGTGTGAAGTGTACAAGTGCCTGGTGTGTGTTACGTTCCTGAGATGTGACCCTGCCAGGTTCATTAGCAATTGTAGTATCCGTTCTTGATTGTGGAGTTTGTATTTCACTCAATTGTGGTGTGTATACCACAAAAGCCACTCTTGTTTAAGTTTTAAAGAGTTATGTTACTCATCTTCAAGGATATGTCATTTAACCAAACCATTGTAGATGATATTGTAGTTTTCTCCCAAATCTTGGAAGAACACACAAAACATGTGTGCCAAGCTATACAAACACTAACCAAAGTGAACCTCATCTTAAATCCACAAAAATATCATTTTGCACTAAAATCTGTGTATCTGTTAGGATTCTCTATCAATAAAAACAGGAGTAAAATTGACAAAAGAAAAATTACGGACGTCATGACATGGACCACATCTAAAACAAGTCAAAACATACAAAGCTTCCTAGATGTATTAAACTACTTCAGAGATTACATACCTATTGTAGCTCACGCAACGGCAACACTGGATGCTTTACGATCAGCAAACAACATAGAACACATATGGAATGATAAACATCAATGCTGCTTTGAGCAATTAAAAGCCATCATTCAAAGTAATCCCGTACTTCAACATCCAGACTTAACTCAACCATTCCTGGTAGCGACTGACGCCTCCAACCTTGAAATCGGCGCCGTGCTGTATCAAATAATCTATAAACGCAAACACTACATCAGGTTTATGGCTAGGTCTTTGTCCAAATCTGAACAAAATTACTCCACTACGAAAAGAGAACTACTCGCTGTAGTCTTTGCATTGAAGAAGTTTCACAAGTTCTTGTGGGGCAACCACTCTACCTTGTACATGGATCATAAAGCCTTGACATACATACACATGCAGAAAATTGCTAACCGTATGATGATACAATGGCATAATACCATCTTGGATTACAGCTTTGATGTGCTTCACATACCAGGTCTATTGAACAAATTTCCTGATTCACTTTCACATCTTTTCTCCACAGAAAACTCGCTGGAGGGGGGGGGGGGGGTAATGCGGCAAATAAGCTATCAAAAGAGCACAAAGAGCTCATACAAAACCCCAAGTTCAAGTACATAGCGTACGAAACAAAGAATAAAAATAGAAAGATATTCAAAGTACAGATACAAAAAGTATTGTTAGACTATATGACACCACCCAAAGAAGAAAGAAAAAAGATCATACAAGATGCACATCTCTTCGGACATTTTGGTGCAGAACACATAGTGGAACTCACCCATAAAAATAGGATGCATTGGACCAACATAATAAATGATGCACTAGAGTATGTAAAAGAATGTACTGCATGCCAAAAGTACAATATAACGAGAAAAAGATATAATACACTCAGATCTATACATGCATACATACCAGGAGACCATTGGGCTATTGACTTAGCAGGACCATTAATGCCTACTGATAATGCCAACATGTACCTCTTCGTCATGGTCGACGTCTGCACTCAATTCTACCTACTAAGAGCTATCCTAACCAAACAATCAGATACCATCATAAAAACTCTGGTACAAATATTCGGAGACTTTGGTTTTTCCAGAATCATTCAATCTGACAACGGTACAGAATTCAAGAATGAGTTAATGGCAAAGCTCACAGAAAACTCAGGAATAGATCATAGGCTAGTAACGTCATATCATCCTAGAGCAAACGGCGTAGCAGAAAGATGGGTACAAACATCTACCCAAGTCATCAGAAAAGTAGTCGAAGGAACTGGAAAAGATTGGGATCATTATCTATCAGCATCACAACTTGCGATCAACAACAAAAGATCAAAAAGGCTAAACACAGCGCCTTTCTCACTCATGTTTGCAAGAAATATAAACACCTTCAAGGATTACCGCGAGCCTGGAACAACACCAGCAAGTCCAATGACACACGATGAGCTGTTACAACGAATCGACCACATGGCAGAGGTAGTATTCCCCGCAATAAAAGAACGAACAGAACTCATCACGAAAACGCAAAAAGAAAAGTTTGACAAAACTCACACAATAGTAAAAATAAATACTGGCAGTTACATGATGATAAGACTACCAACAAGAAGTAGCAAGCTAGCACCCGCCTACCAAGGTCTATACATAGTCATAAGAAAAACCCAAGGAGGATGTTATGTACTTCAGGACGAAACCAGGGCTTTAATGCCTAGAGACTATCCACCATCGGATCCGAAACTCATATCAGTTGACGAAACCGCACTCGCTGATGAACTTGTCGAAGTACAAGCTATCATCAATCACAGAGCCAATATAGGAAGACGAGAATACCTCGTACAATGGAAAGGACAAGGCCCAGAAGAAGACGAATGGCTCATGCCAGATAAATTCACAAACTTAAAAACGATCCAAGATTACTGGACACGACGTGAAAAACAAGAATTATCCACAATGGACAAAATTGTACCGACGACTCCCAAAAGAGGACGACCACCTAAAAAGGTATCCAATAACGAAGCAGCCAACAGCGCTCCCAAACGCAGAGGCCGACCACCTAAACAACCTAAATAGGTGGGTCGCCCACCAAAAAATACACAGCCAATCACTCCAGTCACGCAAAAGCGTAAAGCATCTAGCAGATCTGCAAATACAATGCAGTGTAACAAACGTACTCGCATCTAAATACAATCGTCTGACTATCGTCAATCTGGAGGGGGGTAATGTTGTATTTGACAGTCATATAAATATTTATAAAACAAGTCCTATCAAAAACACAGCATTAATCTCAGGAGCCATGATAAATACGGACCTGAGAATAAAGAAGCCTTATAAAAAGGGCGTAACTGTCATAGTTAGAACAGCATTTTAACCAATATCAACTTTCTCTTTCTCTCTCTTAATAAACCACTATACAAAAGTCTTACTTTATTTCTTCGTCTCTTCTATAAAATTAACCCTAAATACAACAATGTATATATGCAATAAAGTGCAGAAAAAAGTGGAAAAGGGAAATTGTAGATGTATGTAAAGCAATTAGATAAAAAAAAAGGGAATTATGCACATAGAAACAAATAGAGAATGATAATAGTGATTTTAATGAAAAGAACAAAAATGGAAAGTTATTTATAGTGGTCATATAAAGGAGACGGATATAGATAAACCAGATAAAAGAATAATTGGTGGGAGAGAAAGGGGAATTGAATGTTGCAGATAAAGCTGGGAAGGCTCACAACACCCATGTCATATCGATGGTTTTGGAAGCCTCTGATTATTAAACATGATCCAAAATTATATATATAAATGAGCTTATAGGAAGCAATTGTATATGCTATACAGATTAATTAGGAGAATCTTACAGGACTAATCGGCTGTTTTTATCAAGCGAATAGGAGTAGGATTGTAATCTATGAAGAGTACAGCATATTAGCTTAAACCCAAAATGTATGATTTGTATTAACCCATTTTAATAAGGACATATGTAGAGACTTGAAAGATGGTATTACTACGATTAATAAATAGCATGCTAGTGTACATGATAGTGCTTATTGAGTCGGAATATATAATATGTTTCTTTCTTATCTGGCTGATACATTAAACCTTACTTATGAAGATTTACTTGTATTTGTTTATGAAATAATAGCCATGCCAAAGTGAGCATTATTGATTTATTACTATTACTATCTTAATCTGTAAATTTGGCTAAAATATTAAGCAAGATATCATTTTAAGCTTAAGATTTTTGAGTGGTGCCCAATTGACGGTGCTTTTGTAGATATATAACAAGTAAAGATTCATTTATTGAATAGAATATATCATATCTCTCAGTCAAGAAGCGAAACAAATTGACTTTTAATTTATAAAATGACCTGTCAAGAAATGACCGCAAACCTATTTTGGAATTACATAAAAATGGAAACACTAAGCCCTTAAAATATTATCTGCATTAGCAAAGTGCCACAAAATATTACTTAAATTATGTTGCTTTTGGTGCCACATCCATCACACCTTATGCACACATATATTAAAAGCCAAATAAAAAAAAACTTCCCGAAATAAAATTAAATAGGATATGTGTAGATCATTCAGCCAAAGCAGTTACACGTTATAGAACACATAAAATTACATTCAAACATTATACCTGTGCTCATACCCTAAGGTAATGTAAGCTCAAATCAACTTGGAAATGTTAAAAAAAATGCTTGCAAGTATAGTGATCATGTAGTCAAAATGAAAGACCCAGGTATGTAAAGTCTTTGTTTTAATTTTAAAAAAGGTATATATTACCATATGTAATGGGAGCTATCATAATTAAGCTATTTATTGATCAATACATTGTTCATTTAACTTGGTTCGGGTATTATGTACTGTAGAATAAATTATCTAATAGTAATATAGGTTAGCAACTGAATTTAAAGCGTATATGATAGGTTGTATCTATCTATCTATCTATACTGGAAATTTAGGGTCAACAATGATTACAGGGTTTCTAATGTATCAATAAATATCATGTATCTAAATGCAGCTATTACTGGAGCACTACCGAGCTACTGTATTTTTGTCTTGTTTTCATCAGTAAACTTTAATTGTAATTTAAAGATTTATAAGTAGTGCATAAGCTGTAAAACACATTTACCAAGAAATATGCAGTCTACAGGGTTTATTAGCATGCTGTATTACCTTTTTAAAATGAAGCTCAAATATTGGCCACAAATTTAAATAAAACGTTTTGTGAAATGACATTACTTTTGACATATTCTTAGGAGCTCTTATGTTGGACTTTGTCAACCTATCTATTAAATTTTATCTCGAAAAAAAACTAAATTTTTCAAGAAAATAGTATATATATCTGTAAATCTCACAACGTTGATTTCCCTCATCACCCCCACTTCCTTTCCTTTCGACCTCATATTCCTAAACTCATAATGCACTTCTTTGGAACCGGCGCTATTGCTTCATTTTTGCTCTTGGCCACTGCTGCTCAAGCTGCCACTGTCTGCACTGTGAAAACTTCCAGCAAAGGTGATGATGCTGTTTCGATCAATGCTGCCTTTGAGTCTTGCAAGAACGGTGGTACTGTCGTCTTCCCTGCCGGAGCCACCTTTAACATGAAATCGGTTGTTTCTGCTTCTGGCCTCAAGGGTGTCACTGTAAAGTTTGACTCCACCGTCAACCTTCCTGCCTACAACACCGCATTTGCTAAAGAAAAGGCCTACTTCTATCTTGCCGGTGACAAGATCACCTTTTCTGGAAAGGGTACCTTCTATGGAAATGGTCAGGGATGGTACAATGCCGCCAACAAGAATGCACCCGTTGTTTTCAAACCTAAAGCTTCCAACTCTTACTTTGGTGGTTTCACTATCAAGCAGGCTCCTCGCGCTCATTTCAGTGTTAACGGATGCAGCAACACTATCTTTGAGAACCTGACCATCAACACCGTTTCTTCCAATGCTAAATACCCTGCTAAGAACACCGATGCCTTTGATGTTTCTGCATCAAGTAATATTACAATCCGTAACTCCAACATTGTCAACGGTGATGATTGTATTGCTGTCAACGGCGGTGTCAACGGCTTGACCGTCTCTGGCCTTACTTGTACTGGTAGTCACGGTTTCAGTGTTGGTTCCCTTGGCAAGGATGGCAAGACTGATGTTGTGTCTAACTTGAAGTTCTTGAACAACAAGTGTATCGATTGTCAGAATGGTGTCAGGTAATTAATTAAAAAAAGTAAACTTTTTATACATACAATTATTAACATATGTATACAATCAATAGAATCAAGACCTGGCCTGGAGGAAAAGGCAGCGTTACTGGAATTACCTTTGATAACATCAACCTTCAGAATGCCGAGAACCCCATCTTGATTACCACCCATTACTGCGATAACCAGAAGTCTTCCAGCTGCACCGGAAATGATGCTACTTCTTTGAGCATCAGCGATGTCACCATCAACAACGTCTATGGGTAGGTTATTAAATATATTTGAACACAAATTATTGCTGTTTACTAAAAAATAATAATATAGCTCTGTTTCTGCTTCTGCCAAGAAGCCTATCTTGAGCATTGATTGTGCTACTGGAACTCCTTGCAAGGAATTTAACCTATCAAATATCAACATCTCTGCTGCTTCCAATACTCCCAAGAACGTATGCAAGAATCTTTCTGGTTCCGGTTCTATTACTTATTGCAAGTAATCAGCAATTGTATACTTCTCTATACCATGAACCTAGTTATAAGTTCACCTAAAAAATAAAACTCTTTTTTTTTGTCTTTAACTTCTTAATGAGATATTGTGTAAATTATATAAATTACATAAATTGAATATATATTATTTTTATTGGCATTTGATTTTGCAGCAATATATGCAATATAGCCATAAAAAATACTATAAAAGAGTCTCTAAATTACTGTATATTTATTTCAATCGATATTCTGCTTATAAGAAAATTCATATGTGTATATATTCAGGTGTATATGTATCTCAACGGCGTAACATTGATTAATTTTTGCTTAGTTCCCTTTATCTCTTTTTACCCATTACTAAAAGATTGGTTCTGAGAGTAGTGTAACTAAAGAAAGGCATATAATCCAAATATATTTAAATAAGTATTATTTTCAACACTTCATTCCTTTACATTGTTACCAACATATACTCTTATTAGTTTCCAAGCACATTGTAAGATAGAATTACAAATAAGCATATGTCATTACGGAGATATGCATATATAGCTATACCCATAACAGTATCAGCTTATACGTTGTTGTTATACAGCTAAATAAACCATATCATGTTCATTATTTTAATCATTCGAATAGTTGTATTATAAAAAAAGATGCTTATATAAATTTTGCGATAGTATTGTATTTTTAAGAAAAATAGTGTTTCTCACTGATATTAGTGGGATGATATTTTCTGATGGGAACTGATGTTTTGACTTTACTAGACCACATATGGCCATTCGCTGCTCGGTATCAAATAATTATATCCGGCTCCTAAGGATTCATATTTATCATAATAATAATATTTTAATATAAGGCAGGATAATATCTTTCGCTAAATGTAAAAGCATCCTCTTAAATATGTGATGTTATACTTAAAATTTTATACTACCTGTAATAATTTAACTGATATATAAAGAATAATAAAATAGTTACCTAAAATGTTACTTCAAAACATCATATCATAGCAGGGAATTCCGTGCCCGTAGCTTATAGCACATTTCAAGTACACTCGAATTGGTTTACTTTCTCTAGTTAAACGTGCAATATCCTGCATCTTTCCAATCACTATTGTCATGTCACTGTAGCATTTAACTGGTGAGACAGGAAGAGGCTCTTGGGCAAAATAATACCCCTTTCCATTGAAAAAATGAATATTTTTATCGGCATGATTCATATTGAAGTGATTTCTAGAAAGTAATTAACATTATAATTTTTAATTGCCAATCTACAATGAGCAAAGTAGTCTCTTTGCTATCTTCGAGAAAAATAATATTTTTTCAGTACAATTGATTAATAGTCCTTATGAAAAGAGTATATAATAGAAAAGAAGGCGTTATATTTAAATATTGAATTAAGAATTTCAGGACACATAGTTTTTCTTTGAAGGATTGGAGAAAAGACACCGGACATCAGACATCGGACAAGTAGTAACAATAAATTAGTCTGGCAAAAAAAGGTAGTGTCCCATCCTGAAAATGTCGTCCCCGTAGGATTGCTGGTTATGTTTACTGGTCAAGAAAAGATAGCAAAAGATCAAGTCATAAGAAAGAGCTTTACTTTATGAATGTCGCTTATTATAGTAATTCTATATTATTTGTACATATTTCATGCTAGTCTTGATCTCTAAATGATGATTTTTGTGATTTATTGATAAATTTCACTATATAAGGATGTTTTGGATCAATGTTATAGCATTAAATAGAGATATTTAGTAATAAAAGTAAGTTTTCGAAGAGTATTAAGGGTGGACAATAGGAATTTTTCTCGAAAAAATTCCATTTTTTTAATTCCTTCTAATCCAATAACATTGCAGAAAAAAAAGTCAAAAAAAATGAAAAAGTGGTAAAAAAGCGGTTATCTTTAGCGAATTTTTGAAAAAAAATTATGAGATGCAACGCCTTGAACTTCATCATCTCTTTTTGGTAAAAAAAATTCTTTTTTTTTATAAAAAAAATCCACAAAAAAGTGGATCCTTTTAAAAAATTCCAAATTTCTGAGTTTTATTTTTTTAACAAATACATTTACTCAAAGAAGAAGCGAATTTTCTAAAAAATTCCTATTGTCCACCCTTATTATCTATTAACTCCAGACGAAGTGTCAGACATCCAGACTGTCTTTTGATAACCGATTTTAAAAGAAGCAGGTCAAATATTTATAGTTTAATATAAGACAGTATACTGACGGATGCAAGATGGTTTAATAACTATGTATTAGTAACCAATTATGTTATTAATGTATAGCTTTTTACAAGAGTATTCATGCCACTGTGTACGAACACACAACTTAAATTTTGTTTTAAGAATTTTTCAGAGGACAGTTAATAAAAACAAGTGATTTGTTTTCGTGTGTGTCAAGGGCTCATTTCAAATATTTGATTACTATGATAATACTGTTACAAAAAAATGATGTTGATCACACTGCTGGTGATGTTTGTGAGGATACTTGAATCATTCATTTTGTCAAGAAGTATCTATATGAGTTAACATAACAAATGAAAAAAAAATTGCTTGAATTGAAGGATTTCTCAAATTGACTTTGTAAATTACATAATTTCTTACTTTCTAGTAGAAGTTTCTTTTTTGTCTTATTTTTTGGCAGGTAATCCTAATTCTCGGCTAATATTTTACCATATACCAAAAAGATATAAACCTTCTGTTCAATAGATTCAAGAAACCCAACACTAAAGAAAGTCATCTAATTCTGGAGCAAATAAGATATCCATAAACTCCAAGGTTAAAAAGCCCACTTTCTCCGAATATTATTTACATTAATTGATTATACTATGTAAAGATCTATGGATGTGTATATATTTAAAATTGTGCAATTTAACGAGGTCTAGAATGCCGAGTACGCCAAAGTGTATGCCGAAAACCAGGGTATATCAAACATATTATGTTCTTAATAAGGTAAGAAGGAAGAGCATGTTGCACAATTGGATACCGAGTGTCTTTTATAAAAATTGCAATATACTATTAGACTTATTCAAAAAGGGTTTTATATTATATTGATTTAAATGATATAATATCTCCTACTGGATCAGTAAAGGATTTAATATATTAGACTACAATTCTGTGCTTGGGAGTATCTGGAATAAACCGAAATTTACCAGGTCTTACGGTATTATATGAATTTAATCTCACAGGGTCACTGCTTGCACGGAGAAATTTGCACACGCACACAGAGAGAGAGAGACCCCGTAAATCATCTCAGCTGAGATTTAACAAAATATTTGGGCAAAATACTCACACTCTTCCACGAAAAAAAGGTATCGTTGAAAAGGAGAATAATATTATTTCCTTGCAATATCTCATATCAGATCTTGGCAATTTTTTATACTAATCTGTGGAGTAATATTGACAGAAGTGTAAAAAATATATAGAAGAGAGAACGTATATAAAGAAAGAATGTTCGAAAAATAATTTTATCATTATCCTCACATCCTTCTATTATCTAATTTATTCAACAGTCATGCACTTCCTTGGACTTACCACTGCTGTCTCTGTTATGCTCCTGGCTACTACTGCCCAAGCCGCAACAGTGTGTACAGTAACGACTTCAAGCACTGGAGATGATGCCGTCTCAATCAATGCAGCATTTGAGTCTTGCAAAAATGGCGGTACCGTTGTATTCCCATCCGGTTCTACCTTCAATATGAAGTCTGTGGTTTCTGTCACTGGTCTCCAGGATGTAACTGTCAAGTTCTCTTCCACAGTCAATCTCCCAGCCTACAACACTGCATTTGAGAGCGAAAAGGCCTTCTTCTACCTTGCTGGTGACAACATCAACTTTTATGGACCAGGTGTATTCTACGGAAATGGTCAGGGCTGGTACAACGCCGCCAACAACAATGCTCCCGTTGTTTTTAAGCCAAAGGCTACAAACTCTTACTTTGCTGGCTTTACTATCAAACAGGCTCCTCGCGCTCATTTCAGTGTCAACAACTGTGTAAACACTTTATTCGAATCATTGACTATAAACACTGTCTCTTCATCTACGAGCTACCCAGCTAAGAACACCGATGCCTTTGATGTTTCTTCATCAAGTGATATCACTATCCGTAGCTCCAACATTGTCAACGGTGATGACTGTATTGCTGTAAACGGAGGTGTCACAAACTTGACCGTTTCTGGCCTTACTTGCACCGGAAGCCACGGTTTCAGTGTAGGGTCTCTTGGAAAGGACGGCAAGACCGAGGTTGTTTCTGACTTGAAATTTTTGGGCAATAAATGTATCGACTGTCAAAACGGTGTCAGGTAATTTTTAGATCGGTTTGGGTTACTATAGCTACTTTTTATAATCTGACCACTGATGCTTGCAAACTTTAGAATCAAGACCTGGCCTGGAGGAAAGGGTAGCGTTACTGGAATTACCTTTGATAACATCAACCTCCAGAATGCCGAGAACCCCATCTTGATCACCACCCATTACTGCGATGACCAAAAGGCTGAAAGCTGTATTGGAAGCGACTCGACCTCCTTGAGCATCAGTGATGTAACTCTTAACAACATTTATGGGTAAGTAAAATAATTAATTGCACATACATTTTTAATAACATGTATACATATATATATATAGTACTGTTTCTGCTACCAAGAAAAAGCCTATTATCAGCGTTAACTGCTCTACTGAAACTCCTTGCAAAAACTTTGCCATCACCAATATCAACATTGTGGCCGCCTCAAACACGCCCAAGAACGTCTGCACTAATCTTTCCGGGTCGTCTTCTATTTCCTACTGCAGCGTTTAGAAGATAATTGCTACTATAATATACCCAAGTCAATCTATCCCTATTTAGCATATACGTTTATTGGAAATAAATGAGAAATATAAATAAAAATCTTTTTATTTATTTACTAACTTCTGAAAGCTAAGATCTCGTAAATTATTATATTAATATATACAGCGTTAAAAAAATTATTATAGCTTTGTACAAAAAAAAACAGAATTCATAAAAGAATATATTTAAAAAGTGGGGGTTGAAAGAAAATAAAGCTCTTGTCATAATATTTTATTTTAACGGTATTTTTAGCCGACACTATACTCAACAGTATGTTGAGAGAAAACTATAATTTTAGATAGTTTAATTTTAGACTAAAAACCTTTAACACAAGTAATTCTTAAGGAATGCCATATAAATACTTCTTTAAGAGTATATGAATCTAGCCTCCACAACCTAGCTACTTGTATATTAATATCTGTAACAAATAAAAACAAGACTGTACGATCCCCCTTACTAATACTCAGTTTTATATTTTAAATATCTTGAAAACAAAACAACTAGAACAGTATAAACTATTATATATATATATATATATAGATAGGAAGAATATTTTGCTATACATGAGTTAAGCGTAAGGACAAATATTTTTGATGCTTTGCATGAAATTCAGCTTTAAATTACCAAAAAAAAAAACAACTAGTAAAAAGCCCTAACTAAATTACATACACGCATATATATACTCTTTTGCATTCAAGCCAGTTTTTAGGTAGTACTATTATGTTTCATGCTAAAAATGTATATATTTTATTTTATTCTTTTTAATAATCTTAAAAAGAGACAGAATAATGATAATAATTTAAACGCTACTTATAACGGGTATAGAGAATGAAGTCTATTTTTTTTACTTGCAGTAAGAGATAGAGCTAGAGCCAGAAAGGTTCTTGCATACGTTCTTAGGGGTGTTAGAAGCAGCAGTGATCTTGATGTTGGAAAGGTTGAAATTCTTGCAAGGAGTTCCAGTAGAGCAGTCAATGCTTAAGATGGACTTCTTCTTGGAAGAGGATACAGTACTGTAAAACAATGTGAGAAAACCATTATATGTTGGATGATTAAAACATTATTTAATAACCTACCCATAGACGTTGTTGATGGTGACATCGCTGATGCTCAAAGAAGTAGCATCATTTCCGGTGCAGCTGGAAGACTTCTGGTTATCGCAGTAATGGGTGGTAATCAAGATGGGGTTCTCGGCATTCTGAAGGTTGATGTTATCAAAGGTAATTCCAGTAACGCTGCCTTTTCCTCCAGGCCAGGTCTTGATTCTATTGATTGTATACATATGTTAATAATTGTATGTATAAAAAGTTTACTTTTTTTAATTAATTACCTGACACCATTCTGACAATCGATACACTTGTTGTTCAAGAACTTCAAGTTAGACACAACATCAGTCTTGCCATCCTTGCCAAGGGAACCAACACTGAAACCGTGACTACCAGTACAAGTAAGGCCAGAGACGGTCAAGCCGTTGACACCGCCGTTGACAGCAATACAATCATCACCGTTGACAATGTTGGAGTTACGGATTGTAATATCACTTGATGCAGAAACATCAAAGGCATCGGTGTTCTTAGCAGGGTATTTAGCATTGGAAGAAACGGTGTTGATGGTCAGGTTCTCAAAGATAGTGTTGCTGCATCCGTTAACACTGAAATGAGCGCGAGGAGCCTGCTTGATAGTGAAACCACCAAAGTAAGAGTTGGAAGCTTTAGGTTTGAAAACAACGGGTGCATTCTTGTTGGCGGCATTGTACCATCCCTGACCATTTCCATAGAAGGTACCCTTTCCAGAAAAGGTGATCTTGTCACCGGCAAGATAGAAGTAGGCCTTTTCTTTAGCAAATGCGGTGTTGTAGGCAGGAAGGTTGACGGTGGAGTCAAACTTTACAGTGACACCCTTGAGGCCAGAAGCAGAAACAACCGATTTCATGTTAAAGGTGGCTCCGGCAGGGAAGACGACAGTACCACCGTTCTTGCAAGACTCAAAGGCAGCATTGATCGAAACAGCATCATCACCTTTGCTGGAAGTTTTCACAGTGCAGACAGTGGCAGCTTGAGCAGCAGTGGCCAAGAGCAAAAATGAAGCAATAGCGCCGGTTCCAAAGAAGTGCATTATGAGTTTAGGAATATGAGGTCGAAAGGAAAGGAAGTGGGGGTGATGAGGGAAATCAACGTTGTAAGATATACAGTATATATAGTCTTTTCGCAAACCTGTCAACGTATATCTTTAATCTCAATTAATGGAATTAATACTGACCCGAATTTGTGGACTCCAAGTCTGTACACTTTTAAGCTCCTTTTCGACGAAAATATTTTCCTATACAGACAAAATGTGATGCTAGTAGCATTTGTAGTAATTTAAAACCAAAAATGGTTAGGTGACATTGTATATTACATGTATGATTTATTACCAAGAAATGGATTTATGTTACCTTGTAGGTGGTGCAATGGAGGACTTTATAAGTCTTTAAAAGGCTATTCATAAATTCCAGGTAGTCCAGGTACGCAAAAGTAGTAGACTATAATTGATGGTCCGATATATATATATATAAATACGACAAAAACAGCACTTCAAATAAGTAAAATGAGTAAAAGGAGAATTTACAAGGAAATGATCCGGTTTAAGCAATATATTAATATTGATTCAATTAACAACTTCATTTCCGACTGTATGACAGCTAACATTTTTGCTATTTTACATTCGCCAAAGACATATCAGTGCAACACATTCATAAGCACATGGAAGCATAGACAGGTCTTTAGACCCCTTCTGTAGTGCACAGATTATGCACAATATTTTAAAAGATGTATTGACATGCGTCTGGAGCCAATAAAAAAAGTATAGCTGTCATATATAGTGTCTTACAAATGTTTTTTACTTTTTCAAATTCTACATATTCCTCGAATACACCCAATGCATGGTAATATACATTTTCGAGCAAATTTCAGGCAAGTAATTGCATTTACGTTTAATAAGATAATAAATTATAACATCAATGGGGTACAAGTTCTACTTACAGCAAATGCCAATACTCACAGCCATAAACCTTGGGATATTCATGAATATCGCACGAAAAAGCAATCAAGAATATTGTCTTAATTAATATTTTGATAGGTCAACAAATAAATAAGTAGACTTTGGCCATCAATCAAAGTGTAGCAAATAAGATTATGGGTAGCCAGCAATTATTTAATAGTATATTATAATCATTTTAAAATAGAAACGTGCCATGACAAGGTCAACGTAGTACATATACGATCCCTGGTCTTTGGCTATTTCTTCAGATTTTAAAATAATGTTATTTAGTTGAGCATGTTTAATACACATGTCAGATCGCAGCTATAATCCATCGTATGATTAAGAAGCTACCTTTTCTTATCAAGGTATAATGTCTCATACAATCTTCAAGTTAAACCAAGTATTAGATGCTACTAAAGAAATAAATAGCAGTAGTATTACTTGAAAGCACAAAAAATATGACTTATTATGAGCATTAACGCAATTCAATAAAAAGTGAATATGTTTAGCGTCCGTTGATACATTATAATTTAGTAAAAGATGTTGCTATGACACATATCGAGCCGTGGCTATTGTGTTTAAATTTTCAATTTAAAAATAGATTTTATTTCAAAGTAATGTTAGAAGTGCAGCCAATAATATCTATGGATAATACTTTATTCCATACATAGTCTCAAAAATATACCAAGAGCTATAGTTTATCGTAATAAGAAATATACACATCTTTAACATATTGAAGTATTCATGACTGTTGTTCATATAGTCCAGCTTCCCAAGCTTTATAAATCAACCTTCTCATTTACATATCATCAACAAAATATATATATCGAGAAGCTGTGGCAGATCAATCGATATTAAAGAAACTATAATCTCATGTCGTTTCAAATATACATACACTTGAGTCGAAATAGCTGATAAATACATCCTATCTTCTTTTCTTTTTTCAAGTGAAATTGAAAACTCAGAATGTATTTGAGATCCGAGACCCTACTGCAAATATATTTTGTATAACATGTTATATTTTGACAAAATGCTTCTTTCCTCAAACATATTATTCAATCTGGCTTATAACATTATGTAAATTGGCCCTGAAAGACTGAAATATATAATTTTACTTTCATTAAGACGTGCATTGACAATCTACACTAAAATATCTAGCAACAGATCCCCATCAATCCGAAAGATTTGCCGCTCAATAATGTTTCTGAACATCAATACTTGCAGTTTAAACAATTCGCGGTTGTACTTTCCCTATGTAATGAAACTCAAGAGCTATAACATAGTATATGCACCTGTCCCTGGATCCCAGCGCATAAAAGCATGAACTCTACAGAAACAAGTGGGATAATATCTAACATACTGTATAATTAGACTATAAGACATCATTGGGTTTCTGATAAATATGTTAGAGATAGAGAGAAAAAAGAAGAACAGACTTTAAAAATGTCCGATGTTTCGGTATACTTCCTTTTAGTATTTTTGTGGTTTTAATTAAAAAGCACAATTGATATTTTTTGTTTATTGGTTAAAGATTTGGCATCAATTTGGGACAAAGAGGTTTAAAGAAAATAAAAGCTTGGTTAGGTATGTATTTAGAGAAAAGAGAGAGAGAGAGAGAGAGAGAGAGAAGGACTGAGGGCAGGGTATTTATTATAAAATGGCAGTATTGTTTCCCACATTTATACAAGGGATCAATAAAGGTAAAAGTATTGTGTATGTAAAGACTAATTTTATCTTCCTCTTTTTTTCTATCAATTAGCTGCGTCAAATGTGAGAACATATATATATATATATATATATATATTTGTGTATGTGTATGTGCTATTAGCCTCCCAGACTCTAATTAGGATATACACAAGAAATGCGTGCCTTGCATTTATAAGAAGAAGAAAAAGGTGTACTCAAAATGAAAAGAAAGAAAGATGTATTTCTAGGGGAACACGGCAATATTTTATCTTGTCAAAGCGTATAGCGACGTAGTTTACATTTTCAAAAAATATATCAATTATATCAACAAACTTTCAAAAATACATATCTTCTGAATAACTGTCCATCACCTCTTTAGACTTCTTCCTCTAGAGGTTGGCATTGAAGACAGCTTGCTGTATAGTGCCGAGAAATTTGGAATTATAAGAGGTTTTATCCAGTTCAGCAGATTTTTATTCATCAAAGTATTGTAATATTCTATTGTTATTGCTTTCAAAATGATATTCTAATAGATTATCGAAAAAGGCTGTCGATCTTTACAGTAATTGAACTTGGTAGTAGCGTTCATGTTTTTCACTTTTGCATTCATCCATAATCTCTTTGTATGTTTTTGTATAGAATTTAGCTGTATATCTCTCTCTGTATTGGTAGTTCATAAAATTGATTCCTAGTTTTTGAAGTTCATTTTTGATTGGCATAGTAATTTTGCTATCTTGTTTAGCAGAACAGATGGTAGTTCTTCCCTTCTGGGTATGTGTAATGAGTCAGAATTTGGTATGGTATCTTCTAGGATTCTCTTTTTGGCAATTACGCATAGCCGTTCAGATAGATAATACATTTCTTGCTCATTACCTACTTTTTCCTCGCCATACTTTTTGTTTTCTGAACCGAGTTATCTATATTATTTTTAGAATAACTGAAGTTGACTTTGTGTAGATGCCTAAAGTAGTAATATAATCTATTTTATATAATATGTGTACCTCTATAAGAACTTTAACCATTTGGTGAATAGCCTGAAGGCTAGATAAAGAAACTTCATCAGCTTGGAAGTAGTGTGTTGTATTGATACCAAACTATTCTAAAGGCTAATCCAGTATGTGATACACTGACCACAATGTAGTAAAATACAACAAACTCTACAACCAAAATCTGGTTCCTTTTTAGCTTTTTAACTCGGCAAATTAAAAATCAATGGAACTAGTACTCGCTAGGCACACGTACACTACACACTTGTATAGTACATGCCAGTCACTACCCAACAGATATTTGAATAGTAATAACTATAAGCAATAATATTTAACTCTCTAAAAAATAACACCCTTACACCGCTAAAATACTAACGCATAAGCAATATTTCATTTGCTGCAGTTCTAAAGTGGCTCACACATGAATTTTTCGTATAATATTTTTCTTTTTCATAGCAAACTTATTGAATGTTGATTTCGATGTTGTTTTGTAGAGTTTTTTTTTTTTTTTTTTTTTTTTTTTTGAAAATTTTAACTATTGTTAAAGTCTCTTTCGTCAAAGGAAAAAAGAAATAAAGAACGCCCGCATGCTGTGGCAATATTTACGTGTTTGCGCCCAACAAGCTTACTATTACTGTAGTATGTTTTATTATAGGAGTCACGTCAATCTTCCATTCTTGACCAGCAGTATTAGATTCAATGATGTCAAGTCTCTACGCACATTTAATTTGTTGTCTCTATGCACAAAAGAACAAAATTCTTATATGTAAGCATACAAAAAGAAATGTATCAACCTCTTGAGCGAATCACTGGTTCTTGAGAGGAGAAGATGTCGGCTTTATCCTAAGTGAAAATAAGCTGGCTTATGGATCAATACTATCTGCCTTGACTGCATGAATAGCGCAAATATTGCGTGGAGAGGAAAAAAGGAAGATATAGGTGCTATATACTCTGTCTGTGATAATTCAACTTATTTTATCAGCTGTATTAACGAGTGCATTATCTATTATCAAATAAGATTCTTTCACTTCTACAAAAAGAATCTATGTCATTCAAGGTTTTGTGAATGAGCTGCAAATAATACCCAGTCGCAGTCCCTTTTGGGGAGCATACTTGTTTGAATTGGCAGGAGTCTTTCTTTTACAGCCTACACCATCAGATTTTATTCTTTTGGATTCCAAGGGGCTCCTAAGTCCCATCACTTTGACAAACTTGGTTTAAGTTACTCCTTGAATGGTATATAGCCTTTATACTCTGGTTGGCCTGTCGGAACATCGGCTTTGATTGTTGGTCTAGGTGTTAATAAATTATATTCTTCAATTTAATTTTATTAGATCAATTTTAGCAAACCATTGCAGAAAGTAAAAAAAAAAACTCAAATATATATGTATATATAAAAAAAACATGCAAAACTATTGAACTCCTCTAAAGTTTCGAAAAGTTATATTGCTCAAATCAAAGATAATTCATCATTAGGGATTTTTTTTATCTTCTAAAGATTCAGTAAAAGCTACTCTTCATAGTCTTCATCTCCTAATATTTCTATGCGCTCTCCTTCACTGCTAGATTCACTCTCAACAATTCGTTTTGGCTTTTTTGGCTTTTTCTTATTTAACACACGCTTCTTTGAATCTTTGGTCACTTTCTTTTCCGGTTCATCAGCTGGCGTAATTTTTACCTAATAAAAGTGTGAAATTAAATGTAGGGAGGAAATAAATTAATCCTCTCTGTCACATTTCCCGAAGATCATTCAAATAAAATGGCTATCAGTACAACATACCTCACGAGATGCTGCGTCCTCCCCTAAGAAATCATGTAGATCTCCCGTATCTTCCTGATCCAATTTTAGTGTTTCAAGAGTAGTTGTCATTTGATCAGATTGGGTTGTGTTTACTATGGCAACATTAGCCCAGGAAAAAAAAAGAAAAACAAAGGTTCAAAATATATACAAACAAATATAATACATAAACGTTTATTTTCTTATTACCAGAATACAAGGAAGATACATGGGTTTCTCGCCGTTGACGATATGCTTCCAATTCGGCCTGAAAAGTTGCATCGTACAAAGCAACACGTTCTTGCTTTTGTTGTTGGCTGTGCTTCTCAAATTTTTCTTTCAACACAGCTTCCTTGCGATCAAGCTCCTGCCTTAATATAAATAAGTACTTATTCCATAAATTCCAAAATTATATAGAGTAAAAGAAAAAGAAAAATGAAAATCTCGATAAGAGTTTTAACTTACTGTTTTGCAGCCCGTTCGGCTGCTAACAAAGTTTCTTGCTGAGTTTTCCATTGTTCCAAAGCAGCCTTTTCGCTGTCTTTTTCTGCAAGATCAATTTGTGTTTCGAGGGATTGGAGGGTCTGAGTAAGTCGGGTAGCAATACTAGCTAATTGGTCCAATTGGCTTTGAACCAATGCTGCTTCTTGGCTTGTTTGTTCCATTGCTTGACTAATACGCACATGCGCATCACATTGTGCTGTCAGATGTTGTAAGCGCTTGTTGGCTTCGTTAGATTTTTCAATACTGTCCCGGTGGTTTGTCCGAACAGTCTCCCAATTTTTTTGCACCCTAAACAATAAAACACACAAGTTATATATAAAGGTTTAGAGAGACAAAGACAAGGAGATAGATTACACACTTTTGTAATAATTGAGTGGTAGCTTCGAGATCAGTCAGTGGAGGTTGAGTAGGCTGAGTTGGTTGCGATGAAGTTGGTGACGGGATTAAAGATGGCGATAGATGAGGCCTGATTATACACACACACATGCATTATTATTGTGTTTTTGTGCATAAAAAAATAAAGTTGACATTACAATATGGTAGAGTTGCGTTGAAGTAAAATGTCGTTCCATTGCTGAAATTCAGACTTAAGAGTCTCTAATCTGGGATGGATGGGTAAGAAGTTGATAGAATAGCGAGTTTAGTGTGTTACCGTTCCAGTCCACGCGCTTTCCATTCAGGTTCGCTAGATCTAGACAGAATGCTTTAATTGAATGCATGCATGTGTGCATGTGTGTATTATTCTATTCTTCTATACCCTTCAGACTGAGAACTTGAACGTAAGTTGAGGGTTGTATTTGGAAATATATTTTTGAACTGTTGAAACATGGAGAAACAAAAATGAAAGGAAAGGAAAGGAAGGGAAAAGAAAGAAATGGTAGTGACTGTTTGGATGTAAGAAGAGTTTGGCATGATTGTCTAGCTGTCTATCTTTAACAAGCACATCCTGATGCTGTATCTTTGGGGGCCTCCATGAGATTGAAGCTTCCATTGGGACCGTTAAGACTGCGACCACCAGAAAGAGCTTTGCTGACATGGGGAGCAGGGATTTGATTAGCTAAAGATGTTTGGTTAAATAAGTTTGTAGATCAGTATGTGTTTAGGGAAGTGTGTATAAAAGGGAATCCTAGTTTCTCACCAATGGCACCAAATACAGCATCGACATTTTCGGAAGTTTTGGCACTTGTCTCATAGAACAACAGATTGCCTTCTTCAGCATAAGCCTGTGCATCTTCAGCTAGCACTTGACGCTCGTGTTCATCCTCCTGTACAAGATCTAATTTATTGCCCACTAGGGCAATCACGATGTCTGAGCTCGCCTGACGCTGCAATTCTTTTACCCATGTCTTGGCCTTATCCAAAGATGCCTATAGGCGCACAAATAGATTATAGGGAGGCATGATGCTAAGTATGCATGTGCATTCTGTTTTTTTTTCTAAAAAAGAGAGAAAGATTGATAATAATACTTACTGCTTTTGTGATATCATATACAACAATAGCAGCCTGTGCATTACGATAATACATGGGTGCGAGCGAATGGAACCGCTCTTGGCCAGCAGTGTCCCAAATCTCGAATTTGATGGATTGCTCACCGGTCTGATACTTCTTGGTTAAGAAGGCAGCTTTATTAAATATGTTAGCTGGAAATAAGTGCAGCATAGAAAAAACCTACCTCCGATGGTGGGTTCTCGGTTCTCTACATAACCTTGCTGTACAAATTGAATTACAAGACTAGATTTGCCCACAGCGGATTCTCCTAAATCAACCCCATCTCGATTGAGTTTTCTGATTGGCAAATTAGACAGGTCATCTTCTTACCTAGTAAGACCAACTTGACTTGGGTAGCTTTTATACTGAGAGGCATTGGTGAGGGATGAACAGATGAAGCATTAGGATCCATATTGAAAGATGTATAGATTTCTTAAAAAGACAGCAAGTAGCAAAAATAAAATAAAATAACAAGTGTCTGGACTGGACTTAGTCTTGTGCACTCCCCTTTGTCCCTCCTTCCCTTCTCCTCCTCCTCCCTCCCCCCCTTATTTTATATATTCTTAATTTTTTTTAATTACCCTTTAGGTAATTATCAAGACATCACGTGGAATATAAGCAAGACAAGTTTATTGTCTGTTTTACTTATTCAATTCAGAGTTCTTTGCTTTATCAATATAAAAATATACATACATATCTTTTTTTATATATCTATATCTATACATGGTAATGTCTTGTTGTATTTACAAGGCGACTTACTCTGGTGTTCCAGTATACGAAATGCTGTGCAAGGACGCCTCGGTTATGAGGCGCACTTCAGATTCTTATATCAATGCAACACATATTCTCAAGGTAGCAGGGTTCAACAAACCAATGAGGACGCGTCTTTTGGAACGTGAAGTGCAACTGGGTGAACATGAGAAGGTTCAGGGTGGCTATGGAAAATACCAAGGTAGTCTGGCCCACACGTACAAATCTTGCTTCACAACTCATCCGATCGCACATTACTTCTCTAGGCACCTACATTCCACTCCAAAGAGCGACAGATCTTGCAAAAAAATACAAGGTGTTTGACATGTTACAACCGCTGTTGGAATTCACAAAACGAGACCAAAGTCCACCATTCACACCCAAACAAACCCCTTTACCCACTAGACCAAAAAAGACTACCGGTGTGAACCGTAAACAAACACGACCTCGTCAGATAACGCCTTGTACACAAACAGAGGAAATAATAGTGACAGAAGAAAACAAATCTTTGATTGCCGAAGAATTATTGGAAAATATCCTGTATGGGAACGGGGAGTTGCTGAGGTCAGAAACAATGAATATAGTCTTGGATAAAGAAGGCCACGGGAGTGTGCATTGGGCGGCTGCACTGGGAAAACTCGTGACAATACATAAACTGGTTGAATTGGGGGCTGATCTGCATATGGCCAGTTACAAGGGCGAGACGGCATTGATGCGGAGTGTTCTGTTTACGGATAACTTTGATGGAAAGACATTCGAAGTATTAGTCGATTGTTTGGCACCCACATTGAACGCAGTGGATAAGCGAAATAGGACTGTATTTCATCATGCAGTCCTGGCATGCCGTTGGAAGGGTCGATTACAAGCTGGGCGATATTATCTCCAACACCTGTTACACCGCCTGAAGAATGACAGCAGAGAGCTATTTAACAGCCAGGATGCGTACGGCGATACACCACTGATGATGGCAGCCAGACTAGGTTGCCGACAGATCGTGTACCTATTGTTGGACGCAGGGGCATCGGCGCAGATCCCTAACCATCAGTCTATCACTGCGCAAATGATGATAGATGTTTCGTCTGCGGTTCTGCAGTCGGCAACAAATCAAGAATCAGGTCTAGATTCACTATATGAGCCAATTGGTACAGTAGTTGGACCTTTATCAAAGAGTTGTGTTCTGGACAGCCGATATACAAATATTCTATCTGAACGGACGAAACAGACAAGAGCGGTTCGGGATAGACTTGACAGGGCTACCGAACAACTTAATGCCCAGCAAGCCTTGTTGGTTCGTTTACCAGAGCCAGGACCATGGCTGGTTGAAGCTCAACACATTCATGCAGTTCAGACAGCAAGGCTAAGGAAGCTTACAATGATTTTACAACGGGAAAAATTGGATAGATGTTTGACTAGTGGGGTTGTTGTCAACCAAACGTTGTGTTATGAATCCCTGGTGACTCAATTAAGGATGCTCAAAGACAAGCGAAAAAAATTGGTGGCTGAAAAGATCGCATTGCAGTCTAAGGTAGCTTCTTGTAAACTACAAGACTATAAGCGTTTGATTGGAGGGTGTTGTGGGGTTGAGTATGATGCAGTTGATGGACTGCTTGATGGGTTGGTCGTTGTGTCTTCTCAGCCACTGGGCGGATGAGAAGAATAGGATGGAGTGGAAAGCCAGTCTATATGGTTGTTGTGATTGGATAAATTGGGAAACCGACCACAAAAAAATTTTACATGGATTTGGGAGGTGATGGATTGCGGTTTGCTTGGGCTCGCTCCTTCCTCTCCTCCCTTCAACTTCTTTTTTTTGCCTGGGCTTGTCTTTTATATACAAAAAAACCCAAAAAAAAATTTAAAAATCCTTTAAAAAACACACACATTTTTTCTTTTTTTTTAAACCTCATATCATGTCTACAAACCCCACCCCTGCCGAAGCAGCTGCCGTCCCTCCTTCGCAGCTTTCCGCTGAGCAGCAGCAGCAGATTGCCCAGGCCCAGGCTGGCTCCATCGCTGCTAACTCCAGCCCTTCTCCCTCGGCCTCCCTCTATGTCGGAGAATTGGATCCCTCCGTCACTGAAGCCATGCTCTTTGAGATGTTCAACATGATCGGCCCCGTTGCCTCCATCCGTGTCTGCAGAGATGCTGTCACCCGTCGCAGCCTTGGATACGCTTACGTGAACTTCCACAACCAGATTGATGGTATGAAAATAGAGAATATTATATCAGTAATTAAAGGATTTTATATATATTATCTATGTGCATATTAATAACTTATCTATAAACTAAAAAACAAAAAAAAAACAAAAAAAAAACAATAGGTGAGCGTGCCATGGAGACTCTTAACTACACCCTGGTTAAGGGTAAGCCTTGCCGTATCATGTGGTCTCAGCGTGATCCCTCCCTGCGCAAGACTGGCTCCGGAAATGTCTTTATCAAGAACCTCGACCCTACCATTGACAACAAGGCTCTCCACGATACCTTCTCTGCCTTTGGTAACATCATGTCCTGCAAGATTGCCCTCGATGACAGCGGTAACTCCAAGGGTTACGGTTTCGTCCACTACGAGACCGACGAAGCTGCTGAGAGTGCTATCAAGCATGTCAACGGTATGCTTTTGAACGACAAGAAGGTCTTCGTTGGCCGTCACGTGCCCCGCAAAGAGCGTCAGGCCAAGATCGAAGAGCTCCGTTCCAAGTTCACTAACATTTACGTCAAGAACCTTGATGCCGAGACTGGTGACAAGGAGCTCAGCGAGCTGTTCAGCAAATACGGTCCCATTACCTCCGCTGTTGTCCAGAAGGATGACGAAGGCAAGTCCAAGGGATTCGGCTTTGTGAACTTTGAGAAGTTTGAGGATGCCCGCAAGGCTGTTGAGGAGCTCAACGAGAAGGAGCACAACGGCAAGACTCTCTTTGTCACCCGTGCCCAGAAGAAGGTCGAACGTGAGGAGGAGCTCCGCCGCCAGTATGAACAGGCCAAGCTTGAGAAGCTTGCCAAGTACCAGGGTGTCAACCTTTACGTCAAGAACCTTGATGATGATGTCGATGATGAGAAGCTCCGTCAGGAGTTCAGCGTCTACGGTGTCATTACCTCTGCAAAGGTCATGCGCGACGATAAGGACTACTCCAAGGGTTTTGGCTTTGTCTGCTTCTCTTCTCCCGATGAGGCCACCAAGGCTGTTACCGAGATGAACGGTCGCATGATTGGCTCCAAACCTATCTACGTCGCTCTTGCCCAGCGCAAGGAGGTCCGTCGCTCCCAGCTCGAGGCTCAGATCAACCAGCGTAACGCTATCCGCATGCAGCAGGTAAATTTTAATGAAATATCTTTTGAACAGCCATGGTGTTTTGGCTGTATATAGGCGCGCTTTATTATTATTTTTACTATGCGCGTGTTTGTTTTCGTGTGCGTTGATGTATGGGTGGATACTAGCTATAGGGTGATATGAGGGGAAAAAAGGATTTATTTACTTTGGAGATCAATTGAATGCTTACCATCCATCTTTATCTTAGGGTATGCCCATGCCTGGTGCTCCCGGCTACATGCCCGGTGCTCCCATGTTCTACGCTCCTCCCGGAGGTTTCCTTCCCCAGGGTCAGCGTCCCGTCTTCCCTCCCAACGGTATGATGCCTCGCCCTCGCTGGGCTCCCCAGCCCCAGCAGGGTCAGCCCATGCCTGGTTACCCCCAGAACTTCTCTCCCACCCTCCAGGGCCGTCCTCCCCGTCAGCCCCGCCCCGCTCGCAACAACGCCGCTCCCCAGGCCAGCAACAGCAACAACAACCGCCAGCAGTCTACTGCCCAGCGTAAGGGTCCCCGTGCACAGGCTGCCACTGAAGTCCCCGAACAGGCCCCTCTCACTGCCGCTGCCCTTGCCGCTGCCCCCACTGAGGTTCAGAAGCAGATGCTCGGTGAGCGTCTCTACCCCCTCATCCACGCTCAGCAGCCTGAGTACTCTGGCAAGATCACTGGTATGCTCTTGGAGATGGACAATGGCGAGCTCTTGAACCTTGTTGAAGATGCCTCTGCTTTGGAGACCAAGATTTCCGAGGCTATGGATGTCCTCAAGGCACACATGTCTGCCGAGCCCGCCACTGAACAGGCTTAAACAATTTAAAGGAGTGGAAGTTCCTTTTTTTTCTTTCTTTTTTTTTCTTTTGTCGATTCTTAAATGTAGCTTAATTTCGTTTAGCTGAGGCCAATAAACAAATATAGACTTTTTGGATCTGCAAACTTTATATCCACCTTTTAGTTTCAATTTTATGTTGCAGCGTTTTTATTCGTCATCATCAGGATCTATATGGCCTTATGCAAAGGCTACTGAATGGATAAAACGTCTATCAAAGGCTACCATTCCACCAAAACAACTTCAATTATCTTTTAGTCGTAGCAGCGGTCCTGGAGGACAGAATGTAAACAAAGGCATGTATGAGAATCACAGTAATCAAAACTCATTCATCATCCAGTCAGTACAAAGGTAACATTGCGACTGGCGCTTCAGTCTGCAGACTGGATTCCTGCGTATGCCAAAGACAAACTTGCTTCTACCAAGACAGGTGATCTGATCATCACATCCGATCGCACTCGATCGCAAGCAAAGAATGTAGAAGATTGTTACGACAAGCTGCTAAGTCAGTTAAGACTAGCTGTAGCAGTCCCAAAAGAAGCTGATAGCGAAACTTTGGCACGCGTTAAACATTTGTAAGCAATATGAAAGCACATTTTTTTTATTATTTATATTATTATTATTTGGGTGAATTAAGTTTGTTTTTTTAAATATATATGTATATGGATACATTGAACTAGGCAGCAACTTGAAGATACTAGACGCAAGGATGTTAAAAAGCGACAATCAGACAAGAAAAGTAGTAGACGGTCCAAAAGAGATGATTATTGATAAATTGTATTTATCATATCGGAATACACATCTGTCAAAATAAATAGATAAATCCAATCGATCTTTATAAATAAAAATAAATACATAATATGCTCTAATAGTTAAAGTATGTTTTGCTTTATCACTTGCTCGTCTTACATCAATATCACCAAGAATACTCAAAACCTTCTATTCTTTGAATAACAATTGTGTACCAACGATGCATGGTTGGTTGGTGGTAGCAAAATGTAATTAAGAAGAAGAAAAGTTCTTTTTTTTTAAGGGTAGGATTTATTCAGTATATTAAGTAAGCATGATTGTGTTATATACACAGTGGGTTAATCGATTTATTAAACAACCCAGGCCAGCTTTAACTTTCATGTGTACGAAAATGGATCCTTAATGCGTCTTCTTGCCATTTCCCTACATTTTCGTTGTCCTTATCGTGCACTTTACTGAATGATACTCACGGCTTACTATAGGCCGTTACATTTGATGGTACTTCCGACTGTTCCGATAAATAACTCGTGCAGTAGTGTGTAAAAGATATTAGTATACTCGATTCTGATCGAAACAATCGAAACCGTTCATTTGGTCGTCGTATCCACCAGTGCCGTCTCTTGGCTCGCTTACTTAACATAAAAGGGAAAAAAGAGAGCGAGAATCAAGAGGAAGCTAAAGAATGCAAATTTTCACAAAAAAAAACGTGGTTCCCAAACCCTTCATTTCATTTATAAAATAATAAAAAGAAAGGAAGATATGTTCTTATAGCAATAGAGCTGCCCAGCCAGCCATCATTGCCAAACCACCCAACGGCGTCACAGGGCCTAAAGGACGGAACCGATCGCGGTCCAAAGTCAACAAGTAGATCGAACCACTGAATGCAATAGTTCCTCCCAACATCAATGGCATTGCAGCAGGATGTACACGACGAACAGCTACAGGAATACTAGATACAGCTAATAATGCAACTGCGTGCAATAACTGATACTCAGAGGCAGTTTTCCAGTTCTATACACAACACTGGGATAAGTTTTTGTTCCTTTATTTATTTATTTAATTGTCTTGCTCGACTGGAATTTTTAGTACAGTATACAAGTAAATAATATGGTAGACTTACACGCAATTTGGCATCATCATTGCCAGTGTACTTTGCAAGTGCATGAGCACCAAAAGCACCCAGACCAATGGCAGTCAAACCTGAAATACACATGTCAGTTTATCCCGGAAGGTATTGGTGTGTTATTACCTAACAAACTGCCAGCCTTCCAATAGAGATCAGAGCCCATTATATTTTCTATAGTTAAGAAAGAGGAACAATAGGAAGATATTCACTTGTTTTACTCTTCTTTACAAGTTCGAGCTTAAGTATTTAATGGTTTACTAACTGTGACGTAATCATAGTCTCGGGGTAAGAGGCCAAAACGGAGAAAACAGGAGAAGGTTTCCACGTTACCAAAGAACCGAAAAGTAGGCCATTGTCTTTGACTCATTTTACATTAACGCAACTGTCGTGTAATTTAGCAAACTGTGATGGTGTCCGGGTCGGACAGCCATTCAGTTCAATCTAGGCTTAAGGGCCGGGCCCAGGAAGCTCACACGAACACATAGCAGAACACAGTCAGATCTCACCACCCACTCGGCGGATCAAAAGTTCATACCGCACAATTAACTCTTCCTTGTCTCAATTTTATTTTTTCTGTCTAAAAAAGGTAAACAAAATGTCTAAAAACTAACATCGTCTGAATTTAGTAGAAACACTGTATTATTTTTATTCTGTGTTGATCAAATCAAAGGGCTGGGTTATTCGATATTTTATCAGGCCCTTTACTTTTTAGTTTCGGTTTAGAAGCTCTATCTACATTACTTATTATATGTTTGATATAACAGACTGCAATAAAAGATGCTTGTGAGGTTAAAAGAATATCATGCTGTTTTTTTTTGTTAAAGGCAAAGTGGAAAGGATAATCAAAAATATGACAAAAAAACTAAAGAGTCTAAAGCCAAATATAAGGATAAATACAGTGGTCCCTCGATAATTTCAAGGCCAAGGCGGGAACTAAGTACCTTGAAATTATCGAGGGACCACTGCAGCAGCAATCTTAAGATAATTAATAAGAGAGGCATTACTTTTGGGAAACCATTAATTTGTGCTTACTAGGAAATAAACCCGCAGACAAAATAGGATATTAGGGATACATAGATGTCAAACGTCAAAAAATATTACACAGTATATGGAATTGAAACCTTCGAAAAAGCAGGTCAAGGGCAATGAACCTGTCAACAACTCGGAAGATGACAGCTTCATCAAAAAAGAAAGAAAAAATGTAAAGGAGAGCTACCGTTCATACAAAAAAGAGGATAAATAAAAGTTTTTATTTTCTATTGGGTGTACGAAAAGCAGCTAACTATTTGCCCTGCTTGCAGAAAAATCAATATACTTCCTAGCACTAGTCAAAGCCTACTTTGCACGACTTTCTCGTCAAGAAATGTCAGTCTACACATAAAAGAGCGCATTTTCATTCAGTGAAGCGAAACAGTCTCGAGAAGATTGGAGAAAGATACACTTGTGTTACACGTTGGGAGGATATGGACATGGATTTCTTGAGAAACTGCGTTTTTATCGATGAAGCTGGTTTCCATATCAACATGAAACGCAATTACACCTGGCCTCAAAAAGGAGCACGAGCTGTTGTAATTGTACCAGAATTATATTTAAATTATGGATCATTTTAAAGAGTACATTCATTGGTTTCGTGATGGTTCTTGAAAGCATACACGTCTCTGAATACAGAGATGGATGAGCAACAAACTCAGTTTAATTTATTACGGCGTGCTTTCCAAGTGGCGAAAGAGATAATGTTGTAGAAGTAGCAGAGCTAGATGGCACTATAAAACGTTGTATTCTAGAAGTACTCCTTATTGGGATGTAGTCAGTAGCTTCCTTTTTTTTTATATTTTTATTTTTCAAGTAGAATCTTTGTGCTTCTCATATTCTTTACCGGATTTTTCTTTTCTTTTACAAGACTTCATCCAATAAAAATCTATATATAAGGAATTCTCATTGTATTCTTTACTGTCTTATCTCCTTCGTATAAATATTCAGGAGAAAAAGAATATGATTGAAAGTGCACACCAATTTTATTTTGATTTTGATTTTGATTTTTGCATCAATAAGTTCCGGAAATAGTCTAAATGCATTGATTTTCATGATGTTTCTGTGAAAGCATACCCTCCACCAAATTATGATTATCTAAAGCAATGGGATGTAGATACACAAAGAACAATTATTTAAGAAAACCACAAGTTAAACTTTATTTCTTAATAAATATTTTGTTCTTGTAAGCCGCAAAGAATAAACTGTTTATGACCAAGCCAATAATAATAAAAATAAATCACATATTCGCTCTACGCCATTATTACCTTCCTTACTTTCATCCATATATTTTGTTTGTTTTTTTTTCTAGCCTATTCACTCTTAGGGGCACAATGTGGCTCATTCTACTTTTTTTCGGATCCTTTGCTGCATTTTGGCTTTATGGTCATTACAAAGACAATGGGTCAAATGTGATGACAGCAATCAATCTTGCGGTCAGTCGTTGTCAGTTTCTACCAATTTGGTTACGTGTGTACATATTGGGTGTAGCTGAAACTGCCGTTACTGTTTTATGGCAACGTGGTATTGGTAGTAGTAGGCAGGCCCAAGAAGCTCATGTGGATGAGCTGGTGAGAGATCATCAATTGAGGATAGGCAAACGTACTATTGTGGTTACTGGAGGAGATTCGGGTATTGGAAGTGCAATTGTCGGGGGACTTTTGAATGCTGGTTTTCATGTGATTGTTGGTAAACGCGCACAAGATATATTTATTCAATATTGATTTTATTTTTATTTTTTTATGACTATTGCACTTTTGGGTGGAATACTAATACGCTCTTAATATAAACCACTCTAGTGTCCAAGACCGAGAGAGAGAAATGTCTTGTAGCTCACCCATGGATTGACAAGGTTTCATGGGTGGTAGGAGATCTGGCAAGCCTTCAAAGTGTACACTCAATAGCAGAGACAATTAAGGATATTATACCTAAAGGGCAGATTAACGGATTAATCAGTATGTAAACTGTCTTGAATTCACTTGGAGCTCTTTTATGTATCATTATATAGATACTAAAAGGCGTTACCCATTTAACGATCTGAATAGACAACGCTGGGATTATGAACACTCCTTGCCATATTACTGCCGATGGATTTGAATCACAGCATCAAGTGGTAAGATTTATTGATTACAGAGTATTTGGACTCACAATATGTATCCGATCAGAACTATATTTCTCCAATGCTGCTTACCATTTTGTTACTTCCGTGGATTGAGAAAGAAAATGGCTTTGTGTTATTTGCGTCGAGTTCAACTCTTTATGCTACCACTACAGTTGATTTCGACTTGGCGCGTAATTCTTATGAATGGGACGGTCTGACAGCATATGCTCACAGTAAACTTTGCCTGGCAGAAGCCGTGAGAGCACTAGGGACCCAATTGACATTGCACAAGAGCAACATCAAAGTGTATGGTATGGCAGAAAATACCTATAAACATGAGTATATATAATACTAACTTGGGATATTTTTATGTAAATTTGGTTATCAGCATATCATCCCGGTACTGTCAGAACAAGTTTATTTGCTCACACAACTGTCTTTTCCCTATTCTTTCTTTCCCGTCTTTTCGATTTTATCATGCTCTCTATAAAAGAAGGGAGCCGCACACCACTTTTCTTGGCATTCAAGGTCCCTAGTCCTAGTGGCTGCTACTGGTCCAATGAATCTAAGCAAACCATCCCTTCTGTGTCCATAAAAGATGAACATCTAAAAGATTCTGAGGTTTGTGATAGGATATGGAGTCAAACACTGACTTTTTGTCAGCTGGAACCAAAAATATTGCATGAATGTTTCCCTGAAGAAGCAAGATTGTAAGCTACCACTATCTTGTGCGTCTATCTTGTATACCTATATAGCTTTTTATTCCTAGAATATAAACCTTATTTTAATTTATCTTATTTCATTAATGTGATTAAAAGGGAAGAAATACAAGGCAATATATGTATATATATAGAGATTCATTTTACATTCACATATACCCGCTTTGTTTCTTATCTCCATATGTAGTGTTATTTTCGATCAAATCGGCTTACATATTTAATACACCCGGATGTCTTTCATTTTGAAATCTTATTTTACAATAAAGCACTACGTGTAAATATCGATGAAAGTAATAGCTAAAAAAATTTTCAAAGGAATATGGCAGATGTTATGTTTTATTTAATATCCTTAGTTCAATGAATAAATATAAATCAAAGAATACAATAATTTTATGACTCTAATAAGTAAGGTCTTCAATTAAAAACAAAAGTGTTGTACATCGATCATTTCCTAGCAAACAATGGAGCTGATGCTATATTAGATCTTTCAAGGTTAAAATTGCGTGTGAGCCATGTAACACACAATATCTTTTTTTTTAAATAAAATTATCCTTATAAGGGGATTTATACTCAAATTTGGCGATCTTCAACATGTAGTCTACTCGTGCAAACCGTCCTCATACAAAAAGTATATTTGTACGAAGATATGTTTGTACCCAAACCTTACATAACACAGACATATAGCCATATAAAATAGATTTTGTTGTGCTATACCCAAAGATGCGGATTTCATAAAGCAAATATATATATATATATATATATATATATTTAATAAATGTCATCATAAACCAAGCATATAAAGCCAGCCTGATCTTGATCGTATTCCCGTTATTCCTGTCCTTTCTCATACCTCTCTTCACAAAACTTACCATCCCCCATTCCTTTCCTTGCCATGAAGATAATATCATGCGTGGCCGCAATTTGCTTAGCCTTGTCGGTCAATGCTGCTCCCACAAATACAACTACAGAGCTCCCCTCTTTCAGCTTACACTCCAACCATGAATTCAAATTCAATGCTACCCGCGGTGTTTTGAGCGCACGCACAAAGTATTCGCGTTTTATCGAAGGCTCTACCTCATTCTCGGTTGGCAAGGTTCCTTTGACTGATTATTTGTATGATATAATGTATTATGGAAATGTCACCGTTGGTACACCTCCTCAGTTAATGCGCCTTGTATTTGATACTGGATCTTCAGATCTCTGGACAGGTAAGAAAAACGTTTTTTTTAATACTCATTTCTAACTATTGCTTGTTTTCTTTACTAATTCTGTATAATATATAAATATATTGTGATAAATACGTAGTCTCAACTAGCTGTGATTCTTGCGGTTCAAAGCAGAACAAGTTTGATCCAACGCTGTCAAACACGTACAAAACGACCGAGAAAAGCTGGGAAATTAGTTACGGTGACGGTTCTACAGCTTCTGGTCTTCTCGGTTATGACACCGTTCGTCTCGGTGATTTGGCTATCAAGGAACAGGGTATTGAACTTGCAGAGTTCGAATCTCCTTCGTTTATGTACAAACCAATTGATGGCTTACTGGGCCTGGGATTCAGTAGCCTTAATACCCTGAAAAACATTGCTACACCCGTTGATAACTTGATCAGCCAAAAGATCATTAGCAAACCTATTTTCAGTACCTATTATGGAAAAGAAGCTAGTGGAGGAGGAGGAGGCAAGTGCATATTATTTACATATATATATTGTTATTATTTGACTAACTAATATTTTATACTTTTCTTCTTCTTAGAAATCATCTTTGGAGACTACAACCCAAAACACATTGACGGACCCCTTACAACTATTCCCGTAAACAATACCCAAGGTATAATTCTAAATTATCTTAATATTATACATACGACACATTAAACCAATTACATTAAATGCTGTTTTTTTTTCTTTAAAAAAAGGTTTCTGGGGTGTCAATGTAAAAAATGTCAAAGTTGGTAAAACATCCGTAGTGACAGCACCATTTGACGCCATCATCGACACTGGAACTACTCTTCTTTTGTTTACTGACGAGGTTGCTCACTCTATTGCCGCAGCATATAATGCCATAGATCGCCGCGACGGTACCTTTATTATCGATTGTGATACAACCAATCTCAAACCTCTCCACTTGACATTGGGAAAGAGACAATTTACAATCCCTGTTGAATCCTTGATCTTCTACAATGAACCTGAGCGTTGTACTGCCGGCTTTGGTTACGGTGGTCTGCCTTTTGCTATTCTGGGCGATACATTCATTAAGAATCATTATATTATATTTAATCAAGAGATCCCTAATGTCAAAATTGCTCGTAGCAAATAAATGACAACTTAATTTATTAACTTATTTATGTACTAGTTTATCAATTTTAAACTTTATTTCTCTAGTTCTGCTTTCTGCCCTTAGATAGGCGCACCAGATCTGTCAAGAATCTTTGTTCTTTTTTGTATCTAAAATAAATTATTGTATATTAGAGCTCAAGATTTTTATTATTATTAATTTGGGTATATGAAAATACTTACATAACCGCACAGACTACACTAAAACAGGCTACACCCACACTGATATGCCTTGCTTTTTGATCAAGGGTTTGCCAACCAATATGATGTAATGACCATCGAGTGATTGCCCAGGAGGAAGCAAATGCCCCCATCGTTAGTCTACGAGGCATCCAGTTACGGATGTGTAGCTTATTTCTTTGGGCACCAACGTATGTTTTAATAAAATGGAGACTGTAGACAATACGGATGCTCACATTCACCATATTAGCCATGACAAGGCCAATAGCCCCAAAGTCCCAAACACTCATCCACAAATATCCAGCCAACATAAAACATATTGAAAACCCAATCATAGCATAGCTTTGGCGAGTAAGATCAGATGAAGATGCAGCAGATTGAACAAACGCCTCAGTAATGCCATTGATACCCATCATTGGCACATATAAGCAATATGCCGAAAGTACCTGCGGAGCATTTCGCACTGTAGACCACTCTTTGCCTACCAGTAAATCAATGAGCGTGCTTGTATAGTTTGTGGCAAAACAAACAAACAGTAAGCCAAGTAGCACGTGAAACCGTATGATTACAAGAAGTACATCAGTTACAGTTGTAATTGAATTCTCTTTCTGATCGGGTGACACGCTGAGAACCTTTGAGAATAGGGTACGGCCTGTTTCTTCCAAAGGCTGAAACAGGATGCGTACCACAAGGGAGCCTACAGAATATGAACGTAAAATCCAACAAAAAATAGCTATTGTGAGCAAATATAATTGTATATGACATGTTACATAAAACGCACCATAATTCACCACAAAAGCATATATGCCTTGATTGTCATCTGTGCTCAAAGCAGTAATCAACATCTTATCACCTTCTGTAAGGATATGCTTCAGTAATGATTGCTTAGTAAGGGTGATGGAAAGGTCTAATAGAGTGCGATCAAACCAATAGACTCTATAAAAGTAATTAGTACAATAATCTTGATATCATCAAACCTACTTTCCATCCGTGCTCACAAGGCGACGAGGATAGAGGGATCTGAGTGCAATGTTTCCCTTTGAGACCTCCATCGCAAAAAATCCAAGGTAGCCAACCATCATTGTAAGACCAAAAACCAGTTGAGCAATTGCAAAGGCCAGAACACCGTATGTGTTCTCGCCGTTGCCACGACTTCCCAAAATCGTGAGTCCAAATGTGACCAAGCATCTTAGCACAACTGCAACACCTTCGACAGAGACGCGCACCTGGAAATAAAGTCTTTGGAGAGCAAGGATAAAAAGAGGCTCGATAACCAGCTCTGCCATGGCAGCCACACCAAATATAATGACAGAGAGGTGGTAGTGAGGACATGTCTGATCGAAAGACAGGAAATAAGAGCAGGCCAAAATGGTGGTTATGAGGCCAAGGCAGGTTGGGATATATGATACATTCGTTGTTTTTTGCTCTACACCCTCGGGTGTTGTATCGAGAATTCCTAAAAAGGATTCAGAGCTCGAGGTCTTTGTTTCCTGACTACGTAACAATGCACAGCGGAAGCCTTCACGCGACAGGAAAAGAATGGTGGATAAGAGAAGTTCGAACTGAACTGACGCGATCCCGAGGGTCTCGGCTGAAGTGAATCGTAATACGACTTGGTGAAGTACAAATGTAACAAGCCGTGACATTAGCTGAAGCATAATGAGGTAATAAACCCCTTTGACTGATGATGCCAGTACGCCATCCGTCCCGGCTGAATTAGGCATTCTGAGTGGGTTATAAAAGAAATTAAAAAAAGAAAAAAGAAAGGGAAAAGAAAAAAAGGCAAATCGAAACGGTGTTTAAAGATAAAAATAACAGAGAACGTAGGACAAGGATTTAAAGAATTCATTAAAGAGGTCTCTTTCAACAAGCCAAGAAGAAACTTGATATGGGAGAATGTGGTTCAGGCAAATAACTCAGGTGTTTGCTGCTAACTGCCTTGACAGGTGCTTTTTTCTCAAATTAGCTCCAGTTTATACGGTGTGACAGTGATGGAGACAGATGTTGGACTGCCCTTGTGAAAGTTACACAGCATTTGTCTTTGGCCGCCATTTTTTTTTGTCTGTGTCTGGTATTCATCTCTTACTCATCTTGCTCTTCATCCCTTGATTTTATTGCGTTCAAAAGGCGATGGATATCTTTGGCATAAAGTCAAAGCAGCGGCGCAAACCGACGTTTGACCAGGGCCCAACATCCCCAGGAACACCCAAACACACTGATAAGATCGCGCCAACAAAATCTTGGGCAGGCGCATCCCATGCATCGGTCTATAACACAAACACTTACAGCAACACATTCGCAATTGATGACTACTTTCAAGGTATACAAGATAGAAATCAACTTAATAACTTGTTTTATCTTGTTTTTTTTTGGTTTATATGATAGCTGGTATTTATTTATATTTATATTTTGTAGACGAAAACGACAGCCCAAGCCGATCAAACACCTTTTCAATTGTTAGCTCTGATATGGAAAGCATGATCAGTTATGATGGAAGAAGTGCTCGAGAAGTTGAAGACTTATTTGACAAGATGCTGGTAAATGGATCCAAGGAAATAATCCTAGCTTAGTATCCAAATACTAATTTTAAGTTCTTTACGTTGACTCTACAAGACCCGTCGTGGTATCTTAGATACCAATGCGCGCGCAGTTATGTTATCCTTTCCGACCGACAAAAAGTGGCTGATGGTATCCCAGGATAAACAAGCACAAGTAACCCAACCAATTCCTACTGTTGTCACCAAGAGGAATGGTAACGAATATCGTGAACCTGACAAGAGTACACCCGAGTTCTACATCAAACAATTCCTGGAACCAGATATGACAGGTGTAACTCCACGACTTGTGGCGCATCTGGCGGTTAGCTTACGGACTATGCCCCTAAGGTATGACTGTTTATAAAGAAAGAAAAAAGAAAAAAGAAAAAAGAAGCTACGAAAAGAGTGACTTACCGCTGTTATTTTTAGCTGGGTGCGTCAATTTATCGAGTCTCGAGGCCTGCAAGTAATTACCAATGTAATTGGCATCCTAAACAAAAGAGAGCAAAAGTAAGACAGTATATTACAAGGATCGAGCTTCTCATAGTGTTTTTATCTCCCAATTACAGAACAGAGGCTGATTTACAGATGGAGGCCGAAATCTTAAAGTGCTTTAAATCTTTAATTAACAACAGAGTAGGTCATCAAACGGCTTTAAAAGTCGAAAAACTCAGATAATTAATTGATATTTTTATAGTGGGGTGCACGCGAAGTTATTTCGAACCCTCAATGTATCTACCATATCTTGCTTTCATTAGTTTCACCTCCTATACAAACACGAAAACTAGTTTGTGAAATCTTAGCCTTTGTCTGCCATGTGGATCTACCCAAGGGTCAGGATATTGTATTGAAGGGCATGGATAAATTGAGAGAATACAGAAGAGAATATGGTCGTTTTGACGCTTGGCTTAAATTACTGGATGCTACACTGGAAGGTCGTGGAAGAATGGGCAGTTTGGTGGGTGCAAGCGAGGATGTTAAGCGATTGGGACCTCAGGGTGCACCGGATAACCACTTGAGTGATTACGCAGTAAGTATTGGACGCTAGACTATGCTTCTTAAAATATGAAATTGTATTAATACAGCTTGCTCTATTTATCTTAGCTATCCAATATGATGCTTGTGAACTCTATAATCAGCGTTATTGAAGATGTAGAGGTGCGCATTCATCTTCGAAGCCAAATGGATGCCTGTGGGCTACAAAATATCATGGAAAAAATGCATGATTTCAGCAATGAAAACCTTCAACGCCACGTTGACATTTATACTAAAATGAAGGATAATGATCATGAGGATATGGTTGAAATATACAACGAAAAAATTTTGAGTGATATGAACGACCCACGCGACGTATTTGATACAATCCTGACACGTGTTGAAGGCACACGTAGTTACGATTTTTTCTTGAGTACACTACAGCATCTTTTGCTTATCCAAGGACAAGGCGATACCAAGTAAGAATATAAATAGCTTAATGGGTTAGCAATTTAATTCTAACTACCAAATCCAGAGTGCGTCATTATCAGTTGGTGGATAATATGGTTACTCAGATAGTTATGGACCGCAAGGGTTTAACAAACGAATATGATGCCGGTGGTCTGGGAATGTCTGTAGGCGCACTAATAGATAAATTTGCGGAGCAAGACCAGTTAGCTGCCGCTACTTCTGATGCCAAGCAGTTTAAAGCCATGTATGAAAAGGCTATCAAAGAGAAGCAGGAGTTGGAGTTAGAGATTAATATGACTCAAGGTAACTAATCGAGGTGATTTCAAAGATACAATCTCAAAAGTCGCTTACATTACTTCTTCATTTAGATGGCCTTGTGGGTCAGCTCAGAGAAAAAACCAACTCGCTCGAAGACTTGCTTAGAATGTCTCGCAAGACCATCTCTACCTTGCAGCGCAAACTTAAGGATACTCAACAAGAGCACCAAGCCAAATTGGTTAACCTGGATCAGCAACTAAAAGAAACGCTCCAGGCAGCTGCTGAAGCTATAGGCGAAAAAGGATCTAGTGGAAGTGAGAAATTCTACATGGGACGTGAAGATGTTAACCGTGCGTATGATCGTCTGCGTGCACAAGCTATTCTTGAAGGTGGAAATACAAATGAGTCAGAACCCGAGGTACGAAAGGAGAAGAAGAGAAAAAAAAGAGCCCAGAAATCTTATTCTTCAACTATCCAAATAGTCACTTCAGAACATACCAAAAGCAGAAGGCTTGTCAGAAGCTTTTAAATCCTCACTCACAAATCGGATGGGATCTTCTGCACCTACTGGATTTATTGTACCAGGAACCGTACCACTCATTGGCTTCACTCGTCGTGGAGCTAATAATACCAATCGTAAGCCTGTACCAAATCTGTCAAGTGTACCAATAAGGGAATCCAATGATAAGAGCGACGGAGTGATGATGAGAATGAGCCTCAAAAACCAAGTGAACGCGTTGCTAGATCAGGATGAAGAAACATTAGGAGATCATGCCGATAAACCTATCAGCGCGCTTGCTGCAGAGCTTGAAAAACAGCTACGAAAGAATAACTCTGCTCTTCAAAGTGCGGCATCAGATCATGAGGATACAAGATCAGTTGATGAAACAGAGACCTCAGAATATGCCAATGAGAATTTGCCTATCGAAGAAACTGAAGAAAAGAATGGACAGAATATAGCAACAACAGGCCAGATAGCCGAAAGTGATAGAGAAGATCACGAACAAGATGTTTCCTCAACCACCCAAGACCTCCTTGATGATTATGATACACCAAATTCATCAGATATACCTCCACCCCCTCCTCTTCCCCCTGTTGGGCTATCATATTTACCAGAAACTTCTTCAGACATACCACCTCCACCGCCACCTCCACCACCACCTCCACCGCCACCTCCAGCATGTGAATCTGGACTTCCTCCTCCCCCACCACCACCACCTCCTCCTATTGGTGGTGCTTCCCCCCCTCCTCCCCCACCATCACCTCCAGGTGGTGCCCCACTTCCTCCACCTCCACCTCCCCCACCTGGAAGTCCTGGAGGGCCCCCACCTCCCCCACCTCCCGGTGGTGCCCCTCCACCTCCTGGTGTTCCTTCTGGTCCACTTAGAAAGAAGATGCGCCATCAACCTGGTGTCAAGACCCGTGCGCTTCAATGGACCAAAATGCATACCCAGGCTGTTACAAAAACCATTTGGGCATCCGAAGACGTGGACGAAGAAGCACTGGAAGATGAACTGGATGATATGGGTATCTTTAATTCAGTAGAAGAGCTATTTGCTCAGAGAGTAATTGAAATCAAGAGGAAGAAGACCAAAGAAGTCAAGCAAGAAATCTGTATCATCGATACTAAGAAAGCTACCAATATTAGTAAGTATTTTAACAATGCGATTATTTTTTTGCTAAGCAATTTCCTACTCGAATTTAATTTAACTTAATTATATTTCATTAGATATCTCTTTGTTGGCAAAATTGAAACACTTTACTCTGCCTGAGATTGCAGCAAAGATCAAGGCCATGGATGACAATGTGTGCACAGAGATTGTTCTGCGGAATCTGCAAGACAATCTACCAACCCCAGAAGAGCAAGGAAAACTTTCAGTATTTGTTAAGAGTGCATCAGAAGACGCCTTGGAGAATCTTTCCAGACCTGATCAATTCTGCTTCCAGGTAATACAAAACAATAAAAAACGTTGAGTACCAACGTTACTTACTATTTCGAGATACTTTTAGATAATGGAGATCGATCGCTTCAAAGAAAGAGTCGATAACATGCTTTTCCGTGCTACATTCTGGGAAAAATATCACCAGCTGGCCCAGGTTTGTCTACAACAATATATATATATATATATATATATATATATATAATATATTTAACATTAAATTCTGACTTTCTGTATTTCAGAACATGTCCTCTGTACTGGAGGCATCATTGTCCCTCAAAGAATCTCAGCCATTTAAGGAGTTACTCAAGGTAGATTGTATTACAGAAAAAAAACATTACACAGCATTTACAATGATTATTATGGTATCTTGTGCATTGTATCACTATAGCTTATTCTTGTACTGGGTAACTTTATGAACTCCACTTCATTCCAAGGTGGTGCTTTCGGTATCAAGATTTCCAGTATCAACAAGGTGAATATTTATTATTTTTGTATAAAGTTTTGTATATTAATGCTCTTTAATTATGCCATTAGTTGTTGGATACCAAGGGAACCGAAAATGATACAACTTTACTTCATTTCTTGGCTGGTGCTGTCGAGAAGAAATTCCCTCGCTTACAGGTGTTCCTTGACGATTTAAAAGAAACAGGTCGAGCATGTCGAAGTAAGTAATAAGACATCATCGATTAAAGTTTGCATACTTTTTACACTATTGTTATAGTCACGCTCCCGGACGTTATCAAAGAGTACAATGAACTTCGCAGTGGAATTTCCAAACTTATAAAAGAGCTCAAGATTCATTACGACGATTCATATGAAGCACCCGAAGATGACAAGTATGCAGATGTTATGCGTAAGTTTAGGGATGAGGCAGCCGAGAAGTTTGATGAGCTCGAGGTTCGATATACGTCCATGGATGTCGCATATAAGGATGTTGTTGGCTTTTATGGTGAGAACCCTGGACAAATACAGCCAGACGAATTCTTTGGCATCTTCAAAACCTTTACATCCAGCTGGGAGGTAAGACAAAGTAAACCTGGTTGCGCTGGTTACAGAATCTGATTGATATCGCCTTTTTAAGCGCGCAATGAGTGACAATGCCAAAGCACAAAAGAAACTTGACGATCTAGAAAAGGCACGCGTAAAAGATGAAGAACGAAAGGAACGGATAAAGGCTCAGAAGCTTCGAGGGGTTGACACCAGCGATGGTAATTTCTGTATACTGGTTGACTTGGTGTATAAGGATACTTTACTGAAGCATATCTTTTCATTTAGCATTGGGAACAGGATCCGAAGAAGAGAAGAATATTATGGACAATTTGCTGGATAAATTGCGAGCAGGAGAGATGGATACCAGCAGCAAGCGACGTGCTGAAAGATCAACCGGAAGAGAGCGCAGGATGATGAAGAGTGAATCGGTTGTTTTGATGGCCGAAGATCTCTTAAAGAGTATCCAAACAGACGATGAACCTGTATTACGTACGCGCCAGTCTTCACGTACCAAAGATACAAGCATATTATTAGAGGAGGCCTACATGGCCTAACCAATTTAACACACATTCTTGTATACAATACAACTTATTTATTATGATCATGCCTCTCACATTAAAATCAAAGTTTAATGGGGTAAAAACCCAAAAACGGTGGGTAAACTTAAGTTTCAATAAGCGTTCTTGTTTTGTTTTTGTATTTGTGTATGTACGTGTGTGTTTTTTATAGAAGGAGAAGAAAGAGTATTTAAATGTTTCAAAAACAAATTTTTATATATTCACCTTCTTTCTCTTTCTGATGAGTAATGCTTCTAAAAAAACGGCTGCCGTCTTGGGCGCAGGGTAAGCATAGAAATAAAAGTCGACCACTAAACTCATAACAATAAATATAGTTTCAGTGGCATGTGTGCCGCGATTCAGTTGAAAAAACGGTTTGGAATAGTTGCAGACCTTTTTGACAGAAACGATGATATTGGAGGGACATGGCTTACAAATAAATATCCTGGATGTGCCTGCGATATACCTAGCCATCTATACTCCTTGAGTTTTGAGCCAAACCCATGCACGTATTCTAAATATAAACATTACTCTTAAATTACAGTCCAGATGACTAATGTGTGTTTATAGTGTGGTCAAAGCAGTACAGCGGACAAGAAGAAATTCTCCAATACATGCAAAATGTTGCACAAAAGTATGATTTATATGCCCAAACAAAATTCCAGACCGAGGTTATTTGCACTACCTGGCTTGAAGATATTCAGAAGTGGAAGGTCGATTGGCGAAAAACTACAGACCATTCTCAACTATTCACAGGACTCTATGATTTCTTGTTTATTGGAATTGGACCACTTAATATTCCATTCACACCCGAGGAGCTCAAAGGGTTTGAAGGAACAGTTGTGCACACTGCTGTGTGGGATAATAGTGTTGATTTTACTGGAAAGCGTGTAGCAGTGGTTGGCAGTGGCTCAAGGCAAGAATTTATTTTATATATATTTGTACAATTAAAATCGAAGGATGACCTATACTTATTTTTATTGCTTTTGTTCTGTATTCAAACAGTGGAGTGCAAGTCATCCCAGAACTGGCGAAAACAGCTGGACACCTATATAGTTATCAGCGTACACCTGCATGGATCATGCAACGTAGCCAGTTTGATACGCCCGATTTTATCAAGTCACTTTTTGTATACCTGCCTTTTGTGCTTTATATATACCGCTGTTACGTCTTCTTCAAGGTGGGTTGGCATATAAAGATTAGCCGTAATTGATATCATTATTTTAGTACGAGTTCTTGTATCTTTTCCTGGCTTTGCATTCCACTATAATCGGAAAACTCGCTCGTTCTTATTTGGAAGGTTCTATGAAAAAAGAGCTTGAGCGTGCTGGAAAACCAGAGCTTGCTCCTCTTTTAATTCCTCCCTTTGCCCCAGGGTGTAAGCGTATCGGTGTTTCCTCAACCTACTTAAGTTCATTGGCACGTGATAACGTAACCCTTATACCATGCGCAGTCAAGAGTGTTCATGGACGTACGATCGTGGATGTAAATGGCGATGAAAACGAAGTAGATATTTTGGTTTTAGCGACTGGGTATAATGTCAAGGGTTTTACTGGAAACCTAAAAGGTATTTACACAAGAAATGAATAAGTAAGCTATGAAATACTTACATTATTCTTACATTTAGTTTACGGAAGAAATGGAATTGGGTTGCTCGATGAGTGGTCAAAAGAGTTTCCAAAGACATACAAAACAGTGAATGTACATGGATTCCCAAACATGTTTTTTATGATAGGTCCTTCCTCAGGAATTGGTCATAGTACTGTGGTATCTGTTATGGAGTGGTATGTGCTGAAAAACGCGAGGAAAGACTATTTATGACAAAATTATACTATAGTCAAGTGGATTTGGCAATGCAGTGTATCAAGCGTATTATTGATAAAAATCTTTCTGCTGTCGAACCCTCCGCTGCTGCTCAAGATGCCTTTGTAGCCAAATTAATCAAAGATCTAAAGCCAACTGTCTGGAACACAGATTGTGTCTCTTGGTATAAAAATGATGGCGGACAGGTAGATTGATATTTGTTGTCTAGCATCTTGTTCTTATTCTTATTGCATATTTAGGTAACCGGAGTGTGGTCTGGAAGTATTATTAGCTTTTGGTGGGAGCTTCGAAAGTCAGAGCCTTATAACTACATAGAGTATGCGCTTAATAATCATAAAGTCCAATAATTCACTTAATAGTATTACTATTAATATACATACACTCCAACTATTTGTCAGTGTTGTAGGTTTATGGTAACGCATTAAAGTATCACCAATTATACCAATAAACTCATGTGTCTTTTAATTTTTTAAAAAAAATTGTAAGCTTTTGAAGACAAAAAAGAATCGAACCGCGAGGATTATTATTTGTGGTTCTCCACCGATTAATTTTGTTTCATATACACAACAATCAATAGCAAGTGAAAAAGAAAGGAGTGTAAAGCATACTCTCTTTTCGAATGGTTACCGAATGAAAGTCACGCTCTTTGATTGTAAGTCTTTGACTTCCTAATATATATATATATATAAGCATTTGAGTTAACGATCGTAATCCCGTGATAAGTATTGTGCTTAAACCCTTGAGTGTACAAGATATTTAAATTAAATTGATTAAGGAACAGCTGTGTCTAACTGTAAAGGCATATATTATACAAATACGTAAATTAATATATTCCTTTTAGACAGATGTTTCCATAGAGTAAATTAGCTCACATGTAAGTCTAGGAAACAAAACAAATCCCCCTTTTCTTTAATCTTGATTCATAAAAAAAAACAGCCCTTTAATTCAAAATGCATTTCTTTGTTATACAAAAATAAAGCTTTCCCTGACATGCCTTGAAAAAAATCGAATATCTTGTGATCAGCCGAAGGCGATAAAAGGTGTGTAGAAGCAGACACACAAATATATGTATAATGTATATTTAATATGCTATTATGGCCATTATATCACTTATAAAATATGTATTAAGGGTTTCTCAAGCACCCGTCAAAGCCCTAAACTTTGACGAGAGCTTCCTAACTTAGCAGTTTTTTGTTAGCGATTAGCCAAAACCATGGATTTCACTTTTGCCCTTTACACGTAGGGTATTTGAGTGGAGCAGGTGTAACTAATTACGGGCCTACTATGAGAGAGGACGCTTAAGTTGAATAGCGTTTATGCCTGAGTTACTGACTAGCAAAGATTATAATCCCAATTGGAGGCCTTGTAACGAGTGTTAATAAACCACTGTTAAGATGATGTGTTCTCGAAGCAATAGATCTGCACTCAGTAATTAATTAGGATGTGTCAAAAAATATTTATGGCTGGGCGTATAGGGATGAAAATCAGTTGTCGAGATTGGAGAAATGTTTCTAACGAGGTAAAAAGGTTGCTTTATTTCGCTATGCTAAACTTCCTCTGATAATGACCTACTCTGCCAGATTCTCTTCTACTCCTCTACATCCACTTCAATCTTCTCCCTTCGTCTCGTACTTTCTCCGCAATGTAGCGGCCATCAACCACCACGCCCACCACCTCAGGACTTTGGCAGGCGCTTGAGAAACCCCTTATTTTGTTTATTTGTGAGATGAGAGGTAAATTACCGTTGTGTTCTTTGTTACACATTCTAGACTTAATTTACATAATGGAATTATGCGTTTTTTCTCCTTGTGAAGAGCACCGAAATATAAGCGCGTACCTTATTATCTAGTTTGGTTTGGTCTTTTAGCGGACTATATTCTAGTTTGGTAAAGTATAGGGACCTCAAATTGATTGTATTATACGAAATGTGAACATTGTAGAATCCAGAGAAGATCCCAAGCACATATATAATAACTTACAGATAAATCAAATGATTTTAATTAATTTTATTTACCAAAAAAAACATACACAAAAAGAAATATAACTCCAGTTAAATGCTTCACCTTAAATATCTATATATACTAAGAATCAAAGAAGGTGTGGAACATTAAAAGATGTTACACATGTATTCTTCTAGCGATAGACAGCTTGGTTACTAAAACAGATAATGCTTTATAATAATTGTAACTTTAACTGTAACTGTAATTGTAATTGCAATTTTATTTTATAAAGATAATCTGAAATTCTCTAGCCATATATATCGCTTCTTCTTCTATCTAAAAGCTTCCTATATTCAGAGAATACATTTATCGTTCTTCTACTTTTCTGTGTAATATGACAATACCTACAGTAGGAATTATTGGCAGCGGGTAATTCATCAAAGATAGAAACCTGACCCTACTATGTATGTTAACATATTTTTACTAGGTTCAGTGGAATATGTGCGGCTATTAAAGTCAAAAAGCAACTCGGTATCACTGCTCGTATATTTGAGGTCTCAGAAGACTTAGGAGGAACATGGAATCACAATACTTATCCTGGGTGTGCATGCGATGTTGATAGTCATGTATACTCTTTCAGTTTTGCAAAAAATCCTAGTAGGTCATACACAAGTATATTACATTTGAGTATTATTAACCTTAAGATTATCAAGATTGGACTGAAAAGTTTAGCAGTAGTCCCGAGATCAAAGAATATATTCGAGATGTAGCCAAGAGGTTCAATGTGTATAACGACATACAATTCAAAACACATGTAGTGCGAGCAACATGGTTAGAGAGTGAAAACAAATGGAAGTTGGATTGGACCCAAGACGGAATGCCTATAGAGACATCTTATTTTGATTATATGTATGTATATTTAGCTTTCTACTTTAGATTATATACAATGGTTTAATATTTGGCAAAACTAGATTTTCTGGACTAGGACCTCTGCGTGTGCCTCACATCCCAGACAAGTTCAAGGCATTTGAAGGAACTGTTGTTCACACCAGCAAATGGGATTCATCCATAGATTTTACGAACAAACGCGTAGCTGTCATTGGAACTGGAGCAAGGTATCATAATTTAATAGGATCGGTCAAAGTAAATGTAAGCTAACGCTGTTATCTAGTGCGATCCAAGCCATCCCCCATCTTGTAAAAGTTGCTGCTACCCTAGACACTTATCAGCGTACCAATTCATGGATTATCGACCGTTATCAAATGCGTTTTTCTAGATTTGTAAAGTTTCTATTCACATATCTTCCGTTCACCATGTTTCTGTACAGAGCATTCTTTTTCTTTTTGGTAAGTCATATAACATATCATTTGATCTTTTGCACTAAATTCTTTTAAATAGTGGGAGTATCTTTATACATTGATGGGTTATCCCAACTCAAGAACCTCTAAAATGATATCCAGGTATATACGATATCGTATGATTAAGCGTCTTACGAACAAAGGTAGGGGCGACCTAGTCCCAGTTTTGGTTCCGTAAGTATCATATAGATAAATAATATACATATATTATACTAAATGTTGAAGCAGTGATTATGCTATTGGGTGCAAGCGTGGTGCTCTATCAGATGATTATTTGGAAACTTTGTGCGCTGAAAATGTGCGCATCAATCGTGTTCCAATAAAAAATATTGTGGGAAGAACTATTATTACTGAAGATGGACGGATATCAGAGTACGATATTGTATGTTTGGCTACCGGATTTAAAACGACCAGCATATTAGGCGATTTACAAGGTAAGTAATCAAGCTGAGCATCTTTTTTATGAGTCTAATATGGTAAACCGTCTATGCCTGTAGTGACTGGACGTAATAGTTTATCTCTTAATAAATTGTGGGAAACGTCATACCCAAAGACGTATAAATCGGTCGGAATTCATGGATTTCCCAACTTCTTTATGTTGGCTGGCCCGGCTTCTATTCTTGGACACAGCTCTGTAGTATTTATGATCGAGCAGTAAGAAAAGATAACCATTGTACTTATTATAAATACTTATTTACATTGCTTCTGAAATAGACAAGTTAAACTTGCGATTAATTCAATTAAGTATGCGCAGAAACACGACTTGGTCGCAATGGAGCCAACGGCAGAAGCTCAGGATAAATTCATTAATGAGCTTCTGGAAGATCTAAAAGATACCGCATGGTCTTCCGGATGTGATTCCTGGTACAAAAACGAAAGAGGAGAGGTATGCTAAATATTTAAACGAAACCTAATTATCTTTATAAACTAAATACCCACATCAAAATTAGATTTTTGCTCTTTGGTCTGGCACTGCCACCTCTTTCTGGTGGAAGCTTCGTAGAACAAACTATACTGATGATTATATTAAATACGGTAAAACCGAGTGTACAGAAAGACCCTAGTTTCTTGAGCATGAAGATTTGCTGCTACCATCTGGCTATTAATCCGGTCACTCACAACACAGAAGCATTAAAAACATCTTAAAGTGAGTAATAGAACACAATATTTTGTCATCTATCGATATCCATTGGTTTACTGGTAAAACACAAGATCTTAGCAGTAATATATTTACCTGTACAGATCGATTTCATTGAAGTGCAACACGCATTTTGATATATATATATAGCAAATATATTTAGAAAATAAACAACCTTCTTCTGACTACTTGACCATTTACTTCAGTAACAGTTCATAATCATGCTACATAGCTCAATTCTTATTCTTTTCTTCCTCATTGTAATACTAAAAAAACCCAAAATGTAGGTAAAATCCAAATATTTATTATGCTGTCGATTGTGAAAGCCTTTACTAGTTGGTACCTTTTAAATAAAACTAAAAATAATAATACTGTTGTTGGTATTTTTTTTTATGATAAGAGCAATTGCTGTAACCTTTACGTTTATTTAAAAGATAAGTTCGGTCGAATTATCTTAGGGTTTCTAATGTTGCTCATTTTATGAAGGTATTTTCAGTTGGATAGAAGTCATTTTTTGTTATGTCCTATTTTTTTTACTAGAGGATAAAAAGTTATTTCCAGAAATCCACAGTGATTTGTTTAGATAAAGGTTTTAGCCATTTTTCTAGACAATTATTTAACGGACATCTCAAATGTACTAATTCACTAAAAGATTTGAGCAATAAAAAAATGTGCCTTGTGGCTTAAATAAACCGCTGTAGATGCTCTAAACCGATAGATAATACATATGCTCAACACTCTGTCTTTACTGCCCTGACTATATATATGTCCTTATTTCCCGGATCTGTCATGGCTTCTTGATTTCCTTTGCCTTCCTGACATTTTCGCGGATTCTTTTACATAGGGAATACCATCCATAGCTCAACACCGCCTATCCACTCCCAAAGTTATATGGAATTTTACTAGGCCTAAAATTGCTTTCTGGACTACCCCAGATATCATATAACGTCTACACCATCTGGTAGAGACTCGTACACCGCAAGATACCATATCGAAAATGATCGCTCAAACACAGCATTGGCGGAATCAGTTACTTCAATTGTATTATATGCAAGTATTTAAACAATGATCATAACTTCTGGATATGCACTCTAAAAAGTCGTATTCGGGATCAAATATGTTTTCTATTATTTACTGAGCCCAAATGTCTTACCTTTGACTGTATGCTTCAACCATACTCTCACGTTCATTCAGCGTAGCCAATGCCACATTAGATATCCATATGATCTTCACATGTAAACTTCGGGCCATACGGAGCGTTCATTTCAAATTTATTTTTAATGTTAAATTTATCTCTAAGCATATAGGAGCTTAATCTACAGTACACACTAAAAGATTCGAGGCTGAATTAGCTTTAGTTTTTCCCTAGAGTCCTCATTTTTAAATAAATTACCTTTAATACATATTACAAAAAAATAGAATGGCTAGTTTTATTTTCTGTGCAATTCTTAATAGCTTTGTGTTGGTGTTAATAGGAAAAAAAAAGAAGAGGACTCCGTGGTCTTTAGTGTCGATTCTAGTAGTTTTGTAAATTCTCTGGAAACATGGAGGTTTGACTGATGATTTAGTTTTGGCGGGAGCTGCATGTACACTGAACAGTTGTAGAAAAAACCAAAGCATTTTTTTTTGTTTTTGTTTAAAATAGATTGCTCTATTTTTGTATTGCGTCACTTTCTGTCGAATTTTAGCTGTGATAATATATAGATGAGAATCACAAAAGAGATGAGGGAAATAAAAAACACTAGTCATAGACTTAAAGTCTAGGTCTGTACAGGCGTTTAATATTTAGTGATCGCTTATTTATACTTTCCGCAGTGCCATGAAGGAAAAAGAGAGAAAGACACGTACCTAGCTTTTTTATATTCTTATTAGTAAATTTTCACAAATTTATGCTGCTTAAAATTGTAGCAAACTCCACATACAAAAATTGATACACATTTCGCCTTGGACCTAGACTTTCTGAACATCTTCAGCAGTGAGATGACTTTTAATTTATCTAAGAAAATTTTGTTCAGCCAAACAGTTCGATTTATCATCATCATCATCATCATCATCATATTAGAAAGACAGGATGAAATTAGAGATCATGTGATTTAGCCCTTCTAATCGGTCACGTGTTCTCTAATTTACTTGCTATTTCTCACTAAAATAAAATGTAAAAACCTATACTACTTGGTAATTGTGTGCCGTACATTATTACCAGTAGGGAACAGTTACATAGAACTTAACGTAGCCCAATGCCCCCCCCCCCCCCCCCCCCCCCCCCCAAAGAGAGGGGGGAGCAAAGCTCCTAGTTCTATTTTAAATAAAAATTAAATTCTATCTTTTATCTTATTAATGTCTGCGGTATAAACACCATAATTGAGTAAAGAACAGACCCCACAACCAAACACTAGTTCCGTCTTGCTAATGAACCTGGTAAGTTAACAATCTCCAGAACTGTTACACACCAAGCACACGTACACTACACACTCATACAGTGTAAACCAACCATTACATAACAGGGATTTGAATTACAGGGATTTTAATAGTAGTAGATGTGGTATTTCAGGTACGAAACAATAGAAAAATAAAATATTTGATAATAGAAACGTATAGAAATACTTTGAGACTGTATATAAGTTGTCTTTATTCATAAATAAAAAGTGTCCCTTTTTATAAGAAAACACAATCTGCTCTTGTCATTACGTCTTAGTTTCTTAAGGCTTTCTTCCTTTACTATATTTGGTTATTAGAGTGTATTTACTGCTTAACTAGTGTCAGTGTTACAATTATGACATCAAGTCATAAATCGTACTTCTTTAGCTCTTAGCTATTCTTTTCTCTTTTATACTAGAGCTTTAGGACTTCCTACTAAATTAGCTCCATATCGATCTGACACAGTTTACCCCGCAGTATGATATAATTATCTTAACAATCTTTAAGATATTATCTACAGTACTAACTGTAATAATTATTGGGCTGATTACTTAATCATTTATATAAATTTTATACTGACAAGATGATAGTTACTATGCTATCCCAATATGAATATGTTCTTATATGTGATAAATCCAACATCCGAGTGTCTGGATCACCACAGTAGATAAAAACAATATTATTTTGTCTCTTTAATAAATAACACTCTCACAGTATCTACTTTTCCCATTATTGAGATACTAACCCATAAACAATCCCGAATACCTCAAATTTTAGCTATTGTGGTGATCCAGACACTTGGTTGTTGGATTTATTACATCTAAGAACATATTCCTATTATTATAGTAAAACAGCTATCATTACAAGAACAAATGAATAATTTATTTATTTTACTTATGGTAAATCAATAAGACCAATAATTAATTACAGTAAGTACTGTAATTATGACAGCTCAGTAAGTACTGAGTTAATATGAGGACACTGCAATTAGATTAAATTATAAACATAGCAGTACCAGCTCTCTAATATCTAAATGAACTCAGACTTAAGAAATTAAGATGTGACTGACAAAGCAGATCGTGTTTTGATATAAAAAGGACAACTTTGTATTCTTTAATAAAGACGACCGATATACAGTCTCAAAGTATTCTTATATACGTCTCAATCTTTTTACTGTTGATTTTATTCTATAAAACTTCACAGCTATATATTTAAATTAAATAAAAAACTAAAAATAAAGTGAACTGCTGAATATACTCTAATCAAAGTTTCAGATTTTAGCATGCATATCCTGCTACAACCTTGAATACAACTCAGTGCACATGTACCGTTTTATTAAAGTTAAAAAATTGTATCACAAATTCCAAAAAAAAAGAAATTATAACCTCAGTTTAAATTAACACAAATTTATACCTTTGTACTTTATATAATTCAACCAAATGTTTAATTATCTTGCGTTCCAGTGATTAGTTTTTGCTGAAAACAAGTGTGTTAAAGAGCTAGAGACAATAAAAAACGAGTGGGATAAGAGGCGCGGCGGGCTTTTAAATAAATCGAATATTCGGAGTATGAATTAGCTTGAAAATTGAAATCCGCTACTTACTCCTGCAGTGGGAAAGTGTTGTTTTCAGTCTCCATTTAAGTAGTATTAAAAGACAGAATAGATACCATTAGGGTGTTTTAAATTTAGATATTTTCATCGGCGAATGTAAAAAGCAAGTCAGCTTCTTAAAAGAATTCCGAAACTAGTGAAGTATCTGTAAAAAATATCTAAATCAAAAAACGAGATTTCTTTTAGACTTTTAGAAGTCGACTTAATTTTTTTATACATGACGTTACTTAGGGAAGTCAAGTAATATATTTTCATATTAGATGTTATTGGCTAATTAGTAGAGTATAGAGAGAAAATAAAAATATCAAATTCTTCAAGCTCTTAAACTTGAAACACATTATTTTATCAGGCACAGATTTAATATGGAATGTCAATTTGGGCAATATGCTCTCTGGTTAAGAATTGTAAAGATAGACTAAAAAATTAATATATTCTTATTATCAGAGTTACATCTTGTCAGGTTTAATAAAATATATATTTCCTTGATTTATATAAGATTTTCAAGTATATTTAATTGAACTAAAATAAAACTAAAAATCTTATCAACTAAGAATTTAATATTTTTATTTGATGTTGGAATATCAAGATTTATTGAAAAATAAAAATAAAAAACTATTATACAAAAAACACTTAACAACTTATTAAGAGCTAGTATAAATTCTAAATATCAATTAAATACTGAATACTATCAATAATAATAATAATAAAATCATAATTAAATATTAAAAACAAATTATGTTTTGCTTGTTTATTAATTCTTTTTACAAACGTCTGCTTTGATTTGATTAAATCAAATCCATTTTTATATAGGTTTATATTGTTTATAGATACCTAGTCTTTGTTCTCTTGAATTATCTTTGATATTTGTTTATTCTTATCAAGTTTAAAGAAGGCAT